AGAGTACGTAGCCTCAGTGGTAGGTCACGTGACACTGGAGTGTTGAGAGTACGTAGCCTCAGTGGTAGGTCACGCGAGACTGGAGTGTTGAGAGTACGTAGCCCCAGTGGTAGGTCACGTGACACTGGAGTGTTGAGAGTACGTAGCCCCAGTGGTAGGTCACGCGAGACTGGAGTGTTGAGAGTACATAGTCCCAGTGGTAGGTCACGCGAGACTGGAGTGTTGAGAGTACGTAGCCCCAGTGGTAGGTCACGTGACACTGGAGTGTTGAAAGTACGTAGCCCCAGTGGTAGGTCACGCGAGACTGGAGTGTTGAGAGTACGTAGTCCCAGTGGTAGGTCACGTGACACTGGAGTGTTGAGAGTACATAGCCCCAGTGGTAGGTCATGCTAGACCGGAGCGTTGAGAGTACGTAGTCCCAGTGGTAGGACACGTGAGACTGGAGGCAATACCTCCCTGGGTATCGGGTAGAGGGGCCGCTATCCCTCTGTGCTAGGGACCCGTGTATCTCACGCACAGCCAATACACGTGTCGCCTCAAGCGCTCCGTCTCCGCTCCCACAGTGATCGTTGTGGTGCCACGACCACGGAGCAACTCCACAAGCACCGCGATTATCCACTACCCCCCACCCTGAGCACACGCACACACGCAAGCACACATACACGCACACATGCACACACGCACGCACACATAACGCACACACGCGCGCACACGCATACACGCGCACACACACGCACACGCGCACACACGCACACACGCACACGGAGCTCTTGCACCCACGTAGTGTCCTAGCGGGGGATTGCCTGGCACATCAGGTTTTAATCCAAAGGGCCCTAGAGGTTTGCTGGTGCCAGGAGATTGGCCAACCCCCGCAGGAAAGGTGGTCACATTGCGGTGCCCCTGAAATTGGCTTAGAATCGTCTGGGCGCAAGAAAGGAAGGTTCCCTGGGCCAACCGCAATGAGTCACTCACGACATTGGGGGGGGGGGGACAGAGGGTGGAATATTGAGCAAGAGAAGCGCAAGAGAAGCGCGAGAGAAGTGCGAGAGCCCCTCCAGACCGTGGGCAACGAGGGACGATGGGTGGCCGGTGACCGCCGCCACGGACTAGAGGAAGAACGCGGTAACGAGGGGGGGGGGGGGGTAACCGCAGGTAGGCGCACGATTGGCCGCGCGGTACAATGGTGCTCTGGGCCTTTGAAGTTAAGGGAATAAAAATGAGTGGCCCGGGATGATGATTCTGGGCTCTCGTCTTCAACCTCCGGGCCGTCATGACCCTCCCCCGGCCGTCCTGCCACCGCGAGCCGCTCGCAGCGTTCGTGCGGTGCAGCGAGTGCCGCTACGGGGCAGCGACAGGCGACGTTGCCTCTCGTCCTTCTCCCTCCGACTCTCGCGGCGTCTGTGCGCCGCCGTGAGTGCCGCTTCGAGCTGCGCGGTCGGACGTTTGAGTGGCTGGGTTCGTAGGCAGAGTTAGGCGAAGCTCTTCTCACAATATCCCCCCCTTCCCCCAGGTCGTGTGCATTTGTTAGTAAACTTTAGTGCAGAGAATCGGTGCAGCATGATTTCTGTGTGGGTGGAACCTCGGCGTGGTAATTGGAGTGTGTGAGGCGCGCGAGCATGAAAGCAAGCGTCCCTGCCGCACGAGTATGAGGGTCGGTGCGAGGTAGCGAATCACCACCCGCTGGCGCGCATATTCATGCAGCCGCTTTAGCGACAGCCTCTGTGTGCAAGTGGATTGGCCAATAACCACCCGCAGAAGCGCCAGTCGTGGTGCCGGCGCGTATTAAAGTGCACGCACCAGCAGGGGCAGCAGGGGCAGCAGGGGCAGCATGGGCACGCGCCAGCAGGGACAGGCACCAGCAGGGGCAGCAGGGACAGGCGCGTTACCATCAGTGGTGGTGTCCGCGGGCGTTTGCGGAGTAACCCCGTGCGGCGGTGAGCCGGCGCTGCGGCCACGTGGCCCTCGGAGAGGGCGCCGGCACGGGGGGGGGGGCCGGTCACCCAGTCAAGGGGGGCCCGGCGGGGCCGGTCGACGCGGTGGAGGAGGGGGGAGTGGACGTCACGCCCCCCCCCTGCCCAGCGAGGGCGGTGGCGTGGACGTCGGCCCCCACGATAGTGACCCATAGAGACGCGCTGACTCATAGAGACCCATAAAGACCCATAGAGACCCATAGAGACTCAAAGAGACTCATAGAGACCCATAGAGACTCATAGAGACCCATAGAGACTCATAGAGACCCATAGAGACCCATAGCGCTGTTGTTTTTAACCAGCGAGCGATACAGGAGGGCTTCGTTGGGGTATTGGTCATGAGCCTTAATAATGATACTGGACACATGGAGCATTTGATAAACATTATAACTTTTGATGATGACACCAGGGCATTCGGTCGAGTTTGCATAAGATTAACCCCCGTCTGCTGTAATGATGTGTCTAGCAGAGTGTCTCAGCGTCTAGCGGAGTGTCTCAGTGTCTAGCGGAGTGTCTCAGTGTCTAGCGGAGTGTCTCAGTGTCTAGCGGAGTTTTTTCAGCGTCTAGCGGAGTGTCTCAGCGTCTAGCAGTGTCTCAGTGTCTAGCGGAGTGTCTCAGTGTCTAGCGGAGTGTCTCACCGTCTAGCGGAGTGTCTCAGCGTCTAGCGGAGTGTCTCAGTGTCTAGCGGAGTGTCTCACCGTCTAGCGGAGTGTCTCAGCGTCTAGCGGAGTGTCTCACCGTCTAGCAGAGTGTCTCAGTGTCTAGCGGAGTGTCCCAGTGTCTAGCGGAGTGTCTCAGTGTCTAGCGGAGTGTCTCACCGTCTAGCGGAGTGTCTCAGCGTCTAGCGGAGTGTCTCAGTGTCTAGCGGAGTGCCTCACCATCTAGCGAAGTATCTCAGCGTCTAGCGGAGTGTCTCAGTGTCTAGCAGAGTGTCTCAGTGTCTAGCGGAGTGTCTCAGTGTCTAGCGGAGTGTCTCACCGTCTAGCGGAGTGTCTCAGTGTATAGCGGAGTGTCTCCCTTCTACGTGACTTTATCGAAAGAACCAAGAAGATGAATCCCTGCAGTCACGAAAGCTTTAAATCGGAAGTGGCTATGTTAATGTGAGGGTTTAGCCTGATGTTAAAGTGAGAAATAAGCATGTAACTGTAGAAAAGAAGGAGAAGAAGTGGGCCTCCTCGACAAGGGAGTGCAACTCAACGGGTGTAATACGAAGGGCCTGTGAGTATGAGAGTGCAATCCAAAAGACGTGAGCATGAGAGATCTAAGAGAGAGGCATAGAGAGAGACAGAGAGTCGAAATAACAGCTGACATATACAGGTTAGATGGAAACATCACAGTCAGTTAAGACTTTACCTGGTTAATAACGTCTCATTGGGACATTCTGTCTACAGGAAAGCCACCCACACGGATGCCTATCTAAAGCCTGACTCCCACCACCATCCAGCCCAGAAGAATTCCCTCATCAAAACACTACACCATAGGGCCCGTTGCATCTCCGACCAGCACCACCTAGCTTGTGAGTTGGAGCACGTACACCAAGTCCTCAGGATGAACGGATACTCGGACCGTACAATCTGCAAAGCTGTCTCCCCAGCCATGCAGAGACAACCTTCTGAGGATCCGTCCAAAACCATCACTTTACCGTACATAGCAGGGGTTACCAAAAAGATTTCCAAAATATTAAACAAACACACTATCCAGGTTCAATCTGCATTCAGATAGGCATCAGTGTGCGTTTGCTTTCTGTAAACGCTGTGAACTATTTGTCTTTTGTCAACGTGACACTTTTTTGCTGATCGGCCGTGTCGGGTGGTGGAGGGTTACGACACATTTATAAATAATACGATCTAACCCAAAAACGTTGATTATGAATGATATTGGTCGCGAAAGCCTACGTGTTAAACTGATTATCTGTATCTCTATGGTCACTGCATATATTTGGGTTTCTGTGTCTCTATTGGTCTCTATGTATCCCAAGCCCTCAGGATGAACGGATATTCTGACCGTACAATCTGCAAAGCTGTCTCCCCAGCCATGGGAAGACAACCATCTGAGGATCCAACCAATAACATCACTTTGCCATACATAGCAGGGGTTACCAAAAATATTTCCAAAATCTTAAACAAACACAAGATCCAGGTTTGTTTCAACACAGTACACAAAATCCGTGATTTGATCCCATCTGTAAAGGATGTTATTCCTGATATGCAATATCCGGGTGTCTACAAACTGAGTTGTGGCTGCGGCAGCAGTTACATTGGGGAAACGAAACGACATGTCTCGGACCGTGTTCGTGAACACAAGGCAGATCTGAAACACGGCAGGACCAATATCTCTGCCGTTGCTGATCATTGTTTTAATGCTGTGAGCTCACACGAAATTGACTTTTTCAAGACGAAGGTAGTCTGCAAATCCACCGGCTTTTATCAGATATTTGTACATGAAGCCATCCAGATATATAAACACAGGCACAACTTCAACCGAGCAGATGGGTGCAAACTGAGCAATCATTGGAAGGACGTTATTAACCAGGTAAAGTCTTAACTGACTGTGATGTTTCCATTCTACCTGCCTATGTTAGCTGTTATTTCCGACTCTCTGTCTTTCTCTCTCTCTCTGTGCATCTCTCTCCGATCTCTCCTCCAGTACTCCAATGACCCAGGTGCTGCCGCGGGGTCCACTTTCTGCCCCGATTCATTCGCCCCCCCTCCCTTCTCTCCTCCCCTGCAACCGATCTCTCAGATCTCTCCATGTGCTGCCTCGGGGTCCACTGACTGCCCCGCCCCCTCTCTCCCCCCACCTCCTCTCTCCCCCCCCTACTGCCGAGGCCTATATAAACTCATGCCACGGCAGATCTCTCGCCTACTTAATCAGTTTTTTCTTGCTGTGGTTGTCCCACCTGATGGCGATTGCTTGTGTTACGATCGAAACGTCGTGATCTATTATTTTTTTACCTACGTGACTTTACCGACAGAACCAAAGAGTAATGCTTTAGTAGTTGCATTCCTGAAGAACACCGTGTTATGGAAAAATCGCGCTATGATACATAATTACTAATGTGCCAAGAATGTCTGTTTGTGTGTCTCGCGCGTGACGTTACTTCACATACCGCACCTCCCCCCCCCCGGTCATTAATATTCATGAGCGGGTGGATTTTTACACTCACGCAGAAGGTCGAGCGGAAATAATTATTTTTTGCAAATTCGCTTTAAGTTTGAGATTTCTTTATTGAAAGTGAATCTAATAAATAATTATATGCAGCAACAAAATGGATTTGGTGTCTTTATTGATTTCTTCAGCACTTGAGACAACAGGTAAGTCTAATTTATGCTTCTACGTTATGGTAAAATAGACATTTCTCAGTGATTTTGCAGATATTGTATCGATTTCCAATTTATTTCAATCCCAGCGACCGAAAGCAGAAGAGAATAAAGTATCAGAGCAGTGAATTTGAAGAAAGTGAAGGTCAGTTATATACAGTGCTACAGTGAAATGCAGTAAAGTGTTTGATGACACACTTTTGCGCAAGATTCACTGTCATTAAATTTACACAAGATACAATTATACTCTGCTCAATCTTTTCGTAAATATTACCGCTTCCGTCCTAGGATGGGCAAACAAGCGAGCATATAATATAGGGTAAAGCACAGTCCGCGATACCACGTGAGATGTGTATGCATCTAAAGCATCCAGCAGCATCCAGCAGCAGCATCCTGCCTGGTGTGGTGCTACATCGAGGCAGCCATATCACCGCTTATTCCTACTCGTGCAACATAATTTATGTTCACTTAATTATCGCGTTATATCCAATTCGCGTTCATAAGACACGCGGCATTATAGGAGAATTGACTCCTGTACATCTCTCTACCGTCTCTTTCATGGCATCCTTCTGAATGAGTGCGATCTATTTCTCTTACACGTCTTCTAAAATGTGAATATATATTTTCTCATCGTACTCGAGCTGTCTTATTTTATATTGATCGGGAGCTCGCACTTAAGGTGCTTCACATAGTCGAAGCAACCTTGACAAGATAGACGGATGGCAGGGCGTGCAAGGGTGGAGTTTTGAGTGACCGCGATGTGTCACAAATCTGGCTGTCGCTGATGATGATAGTTGTAATTACTGGCGAAACGTCGTACTTGAATTGTAAATGTGGTAGATTTACTCTCCAACAAACCGATGTGCTGTACGCGTAAGGAACTGGCATGTTTTGGTTACGTGACAAACCTTAATAATAATTGGCTGTGTCGGGCGGTGTCGGGTTTAACGACACATTTATATTGACGCGATCTAACCCAAAAAAAAACCTCTTATGGATGCTGTATACAGTAGTGTGTATGAGCATTTTTGCTAATATAAACCGTTTTGAAAATCTTGACTTAAAGCTTTCGTGACTGCAGGAATTCGTATTCTTTGGGTCTTTCGGTAAAGTCACGTAGATAGGTTCAAAGAAAATATACAAAAAACTATGTTTCGATCGCAACACAAGCGGTCGTCACCAGGAAAAGGGGCGATCGTTTTTGTTGCGATCGAAACGTCGTAGTTTTTTGTTATTTTCTTTGAACCTATCTACTTGACTTTACAGAAAGACCCAAAGAATATGCTTTGAAAATGTTAACAGCAGTGGTGGTCAATATGTGAATCACTATTCATGGATGGATCGAAGGACAAAGAACAAACATTAACTTAAGAATATAATAGTGGCATGTGATGTGTGTTGAACTTCTTTCGCACCGTACGTAGCCTTCACATACTTTTGGGGAGAGTGCTGTTAGCGAGCACTCAACCCGATCGCCAACGCTCACATCGCATTGAGTTGGCTGACCAAACGATTACGTAAGGTGGGTGACATTGTGCCAGAGAGTGACATCATGATTTCGGTGAATAATGAACACGTGTAACTACATATCCATTACGCACGTGTATCACATAAGGAGGTGCGTTCCCTGGTTAGTCTGCTCCTGGTAATGGTTTAGTTTTAATAGTTTTAGATGGGAGGGTTGGACCAACAATCTCGCACACTCCATACAAGTCCTGCACTCCCTGGATGCAATCCACGACATGAAGGAACTTACTACAGTGCCAGGCACGCAACTCTGGACTGTTACAACCTTGACACAAGGGGTCCACAACTCCCTAACATCTCTACATCATTGACCTGGCCAAGGCCTTCAATTCTGGCCCGGGATTTCACTGCTAGCAAGCCCCGCCGAGTGCATCACCAAAGCCGCTCTGGCTGTGGTTGGGACCAGTCTAAAACTATTTTTTTTCATCATCATCAGGTAAGGTCCCACTGAGCGAAACAGCTCTTCGTCAGAAGCGTCCTGGACATTCCAAATGATAGCTCAACCAAGTGGTTTATCGTGTGGAAATGGATAGCAGTAGCCAAATACTCTAACTGCATGTTGATTATAAATGTGGAAGGAATAAACGGAGGACCCGGAGAACAATCCATGAAACCATGGGGAAAGAGACATGCCAACTCCAAACATACGGCGTCAGGGTCGGGATCGGACCCACGACCTCGTGCATACCAGGCAAGGTAGTCAACATCTCGCCAACGCGGTCACTTGATTAACGTCCCAAGGCCCCCAACGTGTTTGCGTGCCTGCTGGGTCAGCGCTGCTCCTGGCACCTACACGCAGACCGTCTGACACCCGGGACCTCTCTCGTGATCAGCCTGCCCAGGGTGGCACCTCCCGTGGTGTCACGACCCCCGCCAACCAACCCCGCAGAGACCACGAATATTGCCGGGGCGTGCGCTGTGCCTATCGTGGCCGGCACGGTGGGACTTCTGTAGAGCTTCTTAGCTCATCGGAATCCTCCGGGATAAATTAAGATTCTGATCTGTTATATCTATCTTCTGATTACAAGCTCACACACCTATACCACCAACAACATATGTTAAATGTGGTATCAGATTTCCCAGAACTTATCCAATTGCAAAACTTTCTTAGGGAGTGCAAGTTTATGTTTTTTGGTTTTGACGTGGTGTTCAGGTGATAACTAATATTTTTAGAGCTGCTTTTTGTTTTTAGTTTGTTGTCCTTCCCCCTCACCTCCGATTAGCACGGTTGGCTACGTACAGAGCGAAATAAGTTCCACATACACACACAGAAAACTCGCACGTGCAGAATTTTTTTTTACTTTCTTTTTTTTTATAAAAAAATAAACAAAACTATGACCGCACCCGTAACCCAATGCATGTGCACACCAGAGGAGATGACGTCACCATATATCAGTGTTCTTCACTAATTTTCAGAGGGGGGCACTTTCGCTGATGAGACATCATCAGCATTGAGGCTGCCACACATTTTAAACCATTGGGGGTTTGACAGCAGCACGATGATGGTGGGAGGTGTTTTAACTTTGGTGTATTGTCGGGGTCAAACGTCAGAGGCCGCGAGTGGCCCGCGGGACGTTGCAATGCAGAAGAAGAAGACTGCCACACATCGTGGTGCTGCACAGACACAGTCACAAAGATCCCCCGTGTAGCCCTGTTCGGAGGAATTATGAAGACCGGCAAGGCACATGGAGGCTGTGGGTGACAGGCCCCACATCCGGCCACCTTTGTCTCCCTAGTGGTGAGGTTTACACTGCCACCAGGTACTCATTTGAGGCTGAGTCGACTTAGGGGAGGCTCAGAACCGGATTAGATTTAGCTTTCCAGTGAAGTTCGACTTAGCCAGGAATCAAACTCAAATTACTGGGCTTATAGCACAATGCGCTAACTACTGTCCCACCCCTCCCCACGATATGCACACATGCATACACACTACACACGATACACACACAGCCAATTATACATATTTTTCCAGTAAAATTACGTTATAATGTAAAATTAGATTGGTTAAACAATGATTAATTATTATTATGATCATCACATGCTCAAAAGAGTTATATTCCAATTGTTTGATTGGTAGGATAACAAAAGCTCATGTTGATTACTGTTGTGGTTTATGTTGCATCGGGACTTAACGACCTTCAAGACGCCTGATTTCAAGGCTCAATCGCGTGCCCTGGAGATCTGAGATGCACAGAAAGATAAAGTGTGAGTGCGTGTATACATCCAGAGTGTTTATGTATCTACAAATGTGGTCGTTTATTGAGAATGTGTGTAAATGTGTGAGTGGTGTATTGGTAGCATATATGTGTTTCAGTTGGTGTTTAAAGGATGTTACTGGGCAGTTGTAACCAGCTGCCTTCCAGCAACAATGGAAGGCAGAGGGGCTACGCTCACTACAACGAGTGGAGCGCCGGGCGGCTAAAACATAGCAAGTTGGCACAGTAGGGGGCACAGGTGGTGCATTTGTCAGTCATTTCAGTTAGTCAACCCATGGCACCTGAGTCTATCCTGTGACCTCCTGCCAGCAGACGTTCAATACTTAACGTGACCTTAAAGTGCACATAGCCTGGCACAAGCACCAATGACGATTATCTAAATCGGTCCTGGGCCTCCCCCAGGGTTGACTCAGCCTCAAATGAAGACCTGGTGAGATGTCTAAACATCACCAATGGGGAGACAAAGGTGGCCGGGTGTGACACTTGCCACCCATCCCCTCGTGTTCCCTGGCGTGAACCGCCAGTGCATGCACCTAACACAGGTGCAAGGCTCAGCCCTCTGATTCCTTTGACCATTTCATTTCTTGAGAGCTCCCCTAACCCTCTGGATGAGAATTGGGCCGAGAATCCCGAAGTGGATTACACATTAACCCATCATGCCATGTACCAGCAGTATTTTTTATATTAACTTTTTTTTACATAAATGAGATCATTTAGGAATACATTTGCGATTATTAAAGGGTTTATTGGTTACTCGGGAGCTATTATTAGGTAACAATTCAGATGCCAAATTACAACTGCTCATCAGGGAGAATATTTACATTGAATTCTCATCATGCCCCATGGTGTGAACAATTGCAGCCTCCAACTCTGATTATACTATGTAACACGTTTTTTGTTCCTGGGTAGTAAGTGTTATTTTATAATTGCTTATTTCTCAAAGTTTAGAAAATGGCTATTATTCCCCACAAACTTTGCTTTTGTGACCAGGACTTTATGTGAAGGAATGACACACATGCACACGTTTTTTTCTCATTGAAAATAGGTAAATTTCTAAATGTCAGTGTCCCAGTCACAAAAGCAAAGTTTGTGGGGAATAATAATAGCCATGTTCTGTACTTTTGAGGCGTAAGTAATTGGGAAATAACACTTACTACCCAGGAACTATTTTTTTTATAAATGTGTTCCACAGTGTTATTAATGGAGTGGATGATTAACTTTGCTTTTGTGTCCTGGTCACAAAAGCAAAGTTTGTGGGGAATAATAGCCATGTTCTGTACTTTTAAGGCATAAGCAATTAGAAAATAACATTTACTACCCAAAGTTCCACAGTATAAATATCCACTTAGCATCTATAGTCTCTCTATGTGCTATGAAGATGAGTCATCGCCTGAAACGTTCCCTATTTCTATTTTTCTAGGCCACAGTGTTATGGACGATTGTGGAGTTTTCATAATTGAGTAACTGTGTGGTCAAGTCAGGTTACTGGGTGATTGTGTGATTGAGTCGGTCAGTAATTTAATGCATGTGGGGTGGATGGGTTTTTGGATGAGTGAGCGATTGATGGAACGGTGTGAGTGACTAAAATTATAAATTAACTGAGTGAGTATGGCGAGTGAGGAAGTGTTTGAATGACTGGGTAGTGAGTGGTGTGCATGAGTTTGTTAATAAAGAGACAAACAAGCAATGCGCTAAATTAATGACTTGATGGAGTAAACACAAGTGATTGTGTTTACTACTGAGTTAGTCGATAAACAGTTGGGTGATAAGATGAGTAGGATGAGTGGCCAATTGAGTGAGTGGATGAGTGAGTGCGTGAGTGATGGAGTGAATCAGTAAACTGGTGAGTGAATGGGCAAGTGAGTGAGTACGGTGAGCAGGTGAATGAGTTTTCCTCACCGAGTGTTCATTTTCAGTGGAATCTTTGCTCCCAGGGTCACATTAAAGGACTGAGAACGAGGAAGGGGGGCACACTGAGACAGGCAGAGGCACAGGGAGGAGAGGGGAGACGGATGACTCGAAGCAGGGAAGGAGGGAGAAAAGGGGGTGAGAATGAGGAGACGTAGTGATGAGAGGACACAGCGAGAAGGGAGGACAAGGGAGGAGAGTGCAGACAAGTGGAGACACGGGGAGGAGGGAGACATGGGGAATAGGAGGGGTACAAGATAAGGAAGGAGTCGGGGAGAAGGCAGACATGTGGGATAGGAAGGCACAGGGCGGTAGATGGATGCAGGGAAGAAGATATGTTATTTATAATCACGTAATAAGCTATGCTATAGGTGAATGCAGTAAGTTCCGTGTGTGTGTGTGTATATATAACACGGTTGAGAGTCAGGTGATGTGCTAATGTTTGTACCTCGTATTCTCCAGGCCCTGGGCCCGGGGTTGATCGCGCAATAAAGCGGTCCTCACGGGACACCAGCAGAGACAGGCGAGGGCAAGCCTGAGGCCTCAGTTCATAATGGCCAGGGCCTGGGCAAATGGTCAGAGGTGGACAATATCACACGATAATAAATATACCATTAGAAGTTCATTATAAAAAAACAGTAAGTCGGTGTATGAGTGGGTAATGAGTGTGTGATTGAGTGGTTGTGTCAATGACTTATCATTCAGTGAGTTTATGAGTAGATAAGTGAGTTGTGGGTGGGTGGGTAAGCAAGCCATTTACTGGTTGAGTGAGGGAATGAGTAGGTCGTTGATACACTTAACTGAATTAGTTATTAAATAGGTGAGTGAGCAAGCAAGTGCGTGAGTGTGCGGGTGTGTGAATGAAACGAGTTGGTGTCTAGTAAGTGAACTCCCACCTGGAGTGCCCTGCTGTCTGGGCACTGGAGACCTGTAGAGCAGTGAGCTGGGCACAGGCATTGAAGTCCGAGTACGATGGGGTGCCCATTTCTTTCTCCTCACCACCTCGCTCACATCATAGTAACCGGGGCCAGGGATGTCCTGCGAGGGGAGGTGGAGAGATGTTTTGGAGATGGCAATACCTCAAACACTCACACTACTACCATTAAAAGTCATAGCCCTACCCTCTATGGGTGTCACGGTGGCGAAATGTTAACTATCTTGGCCGGTATACAGGAGGTCGTGGGTTCAATCCTGACTCTGACATCTGGTCTTTCGAGTTTGCATGTTTTCCCAATAGTCATATGGATTTTTCTCCGGGTCGTCCAGTTTTCCCTCCATATTCAGAAACGTGCATTTAGAGTGTTTGGCTGCTATAAATTTCCACGTGAAAAGCCACTTCGTTGAGCTATCATTTGTGGCCAGGTCACTTCTGAAAAAGAGCTGTATAGCCCAGTGGGCCTTACCTGGCAAATTAAAAAGTTTAGTTTCATTTTTGCTTAACCCCTACCTTTTAAGCCCTGGGAGATACTGTTAATATTTAAGGGCAAAAAAAAAAAAATTCTTAACCGATAATGCTACCACTACCCTTGCCCCTAACACTAGCCCTTCCTCTAGCACCAGCCCCATGACTCTAACCCCAACTCACCTGATTCAATGTCAAAAGTCGTGGAGATTTGGACAGAAAAACGGAGCAGGAGCCATTGTGAGTTCCCGAGTCAAGTAAAGACACCTACACAGACACGAGGGGGAGACAAGGAAATAGACATGAAACATTCAGTTTAGAGTTAGGTATAGGACATCAGTTGAAAGATATTGATCTCAATTTGATCAATGCCACTGGGATTTTTCTCCAGGTCCTCCGGTTTTTCCCTCCACATTTAGAAACATGCATTTAAGAGTATTTTGGTGCAATAAATGTCCACGTGATAATCCACTTCTCGTTGAGCTATCCGTTGTGGCCAGGTCACTTCGGAAAAAGAGCTATGTAGCTCAGTGGGCCTTTTTTGAAAGCATGTCAACCACAAAGAGAGTATGCATCTTATTATGAGGTTCTATGTTTAAGCATTCATATTCATGAGGTCGGTTAATATTCTCGAGAAATTATTATTACAAAAGTTAAACCTCCCTGTGCCTAACTAATTTGGAAAAGCCTTTTTGCTTATGAGGAATGTCTGGATTTCTGCAAATCCTCCAATAAACATTGTTATTTTTATAATTAAAGTACAATCCGTTACTATAAGGTGAATTGTATTTACGCTTAATTAACAGCTCGCACACTCCATGAACATGTCACACGTTACAAAACAATAAACTCAAGAATTACACACCGGTGTGTTCGAGAGTAATATTGGTTGCAAAAGCCTACGTGGTAAACGGAAGGTAAGATAAATGTGAAATAAACAAAAGGGGGCATGGACAGCGATGAGACAGATCACGTGGATGCTTCGAAGCACAGGGCCCATGGGTTCGTAAAACCAGGGCAATCCTTCGGGGGTGTGTGGGTCCCAGGGGAAATTACACACCGTGTGGGCTGCCCCTAATGCCTTTCAACTAAAACAGAACTACACACAGTCTGTCCTCCGATAACACGGTAGTAGTTGCGTTCTTGAAAAACACCGCATTATGGGAAAATCGCGTGAAAATAAATAATATAAATTAAAACAGTCTACAATAACGAGTGAGATGCATACGCAGGCTGAACAAAGACTTGAGGCGTGTGGGTAGCTTCGAGAAGCATCCAGTAGCATCCCGCCTTGTGGGATGCTGCTACGCCGAGGCAGCCACACAACCGCTTGTTCCTTCTCGCGCGAAGTAGTTCCATTCATTCGATCGCGTTATAGCCAATTTGCATCCCCGTTATAAAAAAAATTGTTCCCTGAACACATTCACCACGTTATATCCAATTTGCGTTATGAAAACACGCGTAATAGGAGAACAGACTGTATTACACCTGACACTGTGACGTCGCAGCGCAGCGGGCCCCCCAAAGCATGGGGCCATCGCCTCAATTCGCTGTACACCCTAGGGACGGCTCTGACTGCCACCACACGCAATGCAATTGAAGACAATCCTTCGGCACCCGGTTAGGTTTTCTTAACACAATACACGAACCGCCGCAGGGAGTTGAAGCAGCCCAAGGCCCCAGAGTTGGCCTAGACGTCTTGCGGATCTGCACCCCAACAGCAGCCGCCACTCTTGTTAACACTTCCACAAAACCAAATCTGCTCTACAAACAGCCAATAGGCAACCGCCGTACAGTCAATTAGAGCCTGTCATACCACGTGCTCAGTGACACACCAATGGGATGTCTCCAGCACGGTGGCTAACGGTAAAGCCGTTATGCAGTCACATGTTCGGCTCTCGACCAATAGGAGGCTTCCACCGCTGTGTCTAACGGCAGAACTGTTGTTGCATCACGTGATCGCCGCTAGTTTAATGGAAGGCCTCCCGTGCCGTCGCTCAACTGCAGAGTGGAAATCTTAAATCGAGTTTCATTATAACAAGTATAACAATAACGAGTTTTACACTAACAAAATATGGTTCACATAAAGGACCACTTCTAGCGCCCTTACACTTCCTCGGCCAAATACGCGCGTTTAGAATTGTTACACAAGATTAGCAGAACTCTACACCGCACACGACCTGATGCAGCTTCTTTAGCGTGGACCAAATTGCGGTTGGAGTTTTATTTGTTGTGTACTGTTTATCTAATTACGTCGGGTGCCTTTCCGGCATGTTCTGAATTTCCGGTAAGCTGTAGTCTGCTTCCGAAGTTTCTGTTTGATGCACCTCCAATTAGCGCAGTTCACTACGGACAGTGCGAAAGTAGTTCAATATACATACATTATTCTGAATCAAGATCTTTATTTATATCCGATGAGGATTTATATGCGATGAGATATGAAGCTCTTTTTCATAGATGTCCAGTATTTGTATTAATCACGAGGCAGCAGGTCCCTTGCATCCCAACTGAGACTCTCTACAGGGCAAGCAATGAATGTCCCAAACTGAGGAGCTTCTGTGTGGGGTGGGGTTAGTCACGTGATAGTGTGCTGGACCAGGGTCATGTGACTGTGACTGCTCTCTCATTGGTCGAGGGGCCGAGGAGCCGAAGGCTGTCGCCATGGAAACCACGCTTGACCCCGGCGATGGTGATAACTGGTACGAGCCGGGGCCTGGCAACAACAAAACGAAAAGAGCATGAACAATAACAACAACAAATACAACAATACGTCAACAAATTTCCACACATTTGCTATATTTTGCACTCCTATCGGTGTTTGTATTGTTTGTTGTTATAACTTTCTGACCCGCCCCCTACTGGACATCTGTGAAAAATAGCTTCATAGCTCATCGGATTCCTTCCGTCTTAAGTAAATATTGTGATTTTGAAACAACCCATGAACTCAACGGATCAATGACTGCAACAGCAACAGATGCAGTCACCTGATGCACAAATTTAAAATTAAAAACTATCCAGTAGTGTGCGACTGTGGTCATCTAGAACACACCGTACAACGTATAACGATGCAATGCCTCGATCCGCAAATACAATATACACTCCGCTACTCCTGACGCGGTTATCTGGCTTGACCACCTGAATGTGAAATTGTAGTTGTTCCTCTGCAGTTGTTCCTCTGCAGGAACAACTAGATCGTTTGCACATTCACGGTTATGTTTTCCAAATCTTTCCATATATGTATCGTGATCTTTTAGCTATATTTTTGGATATTTGTAGAATCCTTCATAGATTTTTTAAAATAATTTTTTAGGATTTTTTCAACATTTAAAATTAACTTTTAGTAACTATGGTATCTTGAAAAAAATGTAGATCTTTAATAATAATAATTACATTTATAACGTGAGCAAATTTGCAGACGTAATGGCCGCAACTCAGAGGCGCTGAGCCAAACTCAGAGTCGCTCGAAAGCATGATTGTAGAGGTGAGTTTTTAAGTCTCTCTTGAAAGAGGCGATTGAGGTGATGCTGTGAATGTGCAGCGGGATATCGTTCCAGACTGTTGGGGCTGCCACCGAGAAGCGGTGCATAGACATGACCATCCTGGATCTTGGTATCAAGAGGAGGTCGTGAGTCGCGCTGCGTAGGCATCTGCCGTGTGCTGAGCTGCAAGTTGTCAATAATGAAGAAAGGTACGGTGGACAGGCAGATATGAAGGTATTGTGGCAGAGGCAGGCGATCTTGTATATGACCCAGAGGTCGCAAACGGGTTTTGATTCCTTACCCGTACCCGGCCGCACCAGGGTCGCAAACAGCTACCCGTACCTGGCTGGGTATCGGGTACAGGTACCCGTACCTGATACCCGGCCGGGTACGGGTAGCCGGGTATCGGGTAGGGTACGGGTATCGGGTACCCGATTGCGACCTCTGGGATGAAGCGATGTTGCAGGCGCGGGTGGGTTGATTCTAGGAACTTGAATTGTGAGAAGAGACAAGACGTTGAGAAATGAGTGACAAACGGTTACTCACCAGTGACTCACGGCCTACCCGTACCCATACCCGGCCGCACCAGGGTCGCAAACGGGTACCCGGCTACCCGTACCCAGCCGGGTACGGGTAGCCGGGTATCGGCTAGGGTACGGGTATCGAGTACCCGATTGCGACCTCTGATATGACCCTACTGGCGATGGGTAGCCAGTTGAGAGCACGGAGACAGGCTAGTGAGTCGAGACAGGGATGAGTGTGGCCAATGACGACGCGTGCTAGGTTGTTTTGTAGTCTTTGAAGTTTCTTTAGGTTGCCAGCGGAGGTCCGGACTAGGACGGAGTTGCAATAGTCAAGGCGAGACCCAACTATGCAACATGCCAATGTGTTGGCAATTTCAGTGGAGATGAGAGGACGTAGGTGTCTGAGAGCCTTCAGGTGAAAGTTACATGAACTGATGATATGGTTGGTTTGACGGTCGAAGGATAAAGTTGAATCTAGGATGACACCGAGGTAGCTGAAGTGGTCGGTGAACCTGATGCTGTGACCGAAGATGTGTATGTGTGTTGGGAGTGCTGATGAATTGAGACGTTGCTTGGTACCTAACATGATGGCCACTGACTTTTTTGGATTAAGGGCTAGGTTGTGTGCAGTGAACCATTGTTGCAAGGCGGTGGTACATTCTGAGAGCCTCTCGAATCCAGATGCATTGCTAGAATCGATGGCGGTGAATAGAATAGTGTCATCTGCGTATGAGTGATGCTTAACACCGAAGCTTGCGATGAGCCGGCCAATCGGGGAAGTGTAGGCTGTGAAGAGCAGGGGACCTAGTACAGAGCCCTGGGGAACCCCGCATAATGCTATTGTTTCAGGCGATGTGGACATGCCCACCCTGACTGAAGATTGCCGGTCAAAAAGGTACGAAGCTATCCACTTGACTGCTGAGCCACAAATACCGAAGTCGGATTTCAGGAGAGAAGTAAGGAGCGAGTGGTTGATGGTGTCGAAGGCTGACAAAATGTCCAGACTTACAAGTGCAACAGTTGAGCCGGAATCAATGATCGTTAAAATGTCATCGAGCACTCTAGTGAGTGCTGTTTCTGTGGAGTAGTTTTGACGGTAAGCTGACTGGAAGCAGCAGTAGTTTGCGGAGGAGGTGAGGTGTGGTTGTAGCTGGGCGAGGGCAAGTCGTTCAAGGAGTTTAGAGAGGTTCAAGAGATTAGTGATGGGACGATAACTAGATGGGTCATCCGGGTCGAGACTTGGTTTCTTTAACAAGGGAGAAACCAGGCCAGATTTGAGGTTGGATGGAAGACACCCCATAGATAATGAGGCATTTGTGATGTTCCTGATCATGATGGCGAGTTCCGGAGCACATTGCTTGAACAAGGAACCTGGGAGCACGTCGAGTGGAGATGACTTAAATTGAAGTGATTCAATTAAAGAGAAAACGTCTTTTGTAGACACCGGCTTTAGCGTAATTAGAAGAGTGACTGGGTGAGTGCTTACAATTTCAGGTAACTTGAGCGGGGTACAATGGATGTGTGAATAGACATGCACGAGTTTGCGACGGTGATTAGCTTGTTAGTGAAGTAAGTATTAAAAGAGGTGGCAAGTTTCAGTGAGTGACCATGGTGCTACCAGGATGTAGAAGATCTTTGAGGGTTTTCCATAGAATGCCCGGTTTTCCGGTTGCTTTTTTGATGCGTTCTTCAATGTAGGAGGAACGTGAGACTAGGATCAGTTTGTTAGTTTTCCTGCAGGTGACTCTGTAAGCAAGTCGATCAGCAGGTAGACCACTGCGGGATGCGATACTTTCAAGGCGCCTCCTGGTTCGCTTAGCAATGATGGCGTCTCTTGAGAGCCAGTGAGTGTCGTGAGAAGACTGCCTAGCGGTTCGTGATTTTAATGGAGCTAGTTTGTCCAGCGCCGCCCTCATGTCAGCTTCTAGTTGGAGAGCGCAGATGGTTGGATCCGATGATGGGAATAACATTGAAGACGAGTTTGCAAGGAGGTGGCGTAAAGCAGAAAACTCGATACCTTTGAAATTACGCGAGTTGCGGGTGAATTTGATGGTGATTGGCTTGAGAATTTGGAGGGAAAAAAGTATGAGGCGGTGGTCGGAGTAACCAGTTTGGAAAACTCCCAGTGCAGTGATGCGTCGATGCTGGTCAGGTTCCAGAACCAGCAATTAAAGTCACCTGTAAGCACGAGCCTGTGAGATGGGTTAGGAATCAGATATAGGAATTCCGAAGCTCGTTTAAGAAGGTATTGATGCTGCCATCTGGAGGGCGATAGATGGAAATGATGGAAAAGCACTCGTTGTTAGTAGTGAGGGATACGGACTGGACCTCGAAGGTGGCGGGAGCCATCGGTAGATAGAGTTCTTTAATTTTCAAGTGTGCAACGACCGCTAAGCCACCACCCCGCTGGGGGGGAGTACTCCATATTGAGTGGCGTTACCCACTCATGATTATTAATGAGGGGTGGGGGGGGTGTCCATTTGGAGGACGTCACCTGCTCATGAATATTAATGAGGGGGGCTGGTCGATGTGGAGTGACGTCACGAGCATCGTATGGGCTACATACACGCTTGTCATAACACACACGGTTAGATGTATACACACCTGCCACCAGTCGTACATTACTAACAACCCTAATTCGCCACTACGTGGCAGTGACACGACCACGGCACTTGTGCCAGGCTATGTGCACTTTAAGACCACGTGAAGCATCGAACGCCTGCTGGCAGGTCACGGGACAGACCCAGGTGCCATGGGTTGACTAACTGAGATGACTGACAAATGCACCACCTGTGCCCTCTACTGTGCCAACTTTCTGTGTTTTAGCCGCCCAGCGCTCCACTCGTTGTAGTGAGCGTTGCTCCTCTGCCTTCCATTGTTGCTGGAGGGAGACTGCCTCCAAATGCCCAGGAGCATCCTTCATGAGGCGACTATCCAGAGGCCGATCTTGACACTGCTGGTACTGGTCATCATTGCCAAGTCCACTCAGCTCTGTATCCTCTCGAACCACATCATTCCATGGAACATTACCAAGGTCACTCGCCAACATCCACTGGGGCTATGGCCGACGCTCTTGAAGTGACGAGCCACTGATTTGGACATAATTTACGCCGCAGAGTTGACAGAAAAATGTTAGACAAATCTAGCGCCGAGGCACGCACTGCAATAAACCTGATTTGTGGAGGTTCAAATAGACCTATAGTTGTTTGCGTGTACTCATAATAAAGGTTTTTGGGTTAGATCGCGTTGTTTATCAATGTGTCGCAACCCTCCACGACCCGACACGGCCAATCAGTAAAAAATGTGTCACGTTGACAAAAGACAAATAGTTCACTACTTTAGAAGACTGGATCCACAACATTTACAATTTGAGTACGACGTTTCGCTGGTAATTACATTCAGCATCTACGGGCGATTTGCCAGACTAGTGAAGGCATCCACCAGCTCCCGTGCAGGATGGCGTCATCATTGTTGAACCCCATCAGGATTCGAGATCAGAGGCGGAGGTGGGGGTTGTGTTTAGTTTGTTGTCCTTTCCCCGTACCTCCGATTAGCACTGTTGGCTATGTACGGTGCAAAAGAAGTTCAACATACGTACATATGGTGCGTCACATAAGATGGACGTTTTGATCTGTGTATCGGTTGAAGTGAAGGTATGCATGTTGCATCTTCGCCGATTGCATGGGTTGGTGCCTGCATGGGTTGGTGCCTCTTGTTATTGCAGGTGAATTGCATTGAGCAGGTGTCTGAGGATTTTGTTTCTGCATAATTAACGTCGAGGTGGTTCCTAAATGTGTCATTGAGTGATACCTCTATTCTTTGGGTCTTTCAGTAAAGTCACGTAAATAGGTAAAAAAACTATCTACGTGACTTTACCCAAAGACCCAAAGAATATGAATTCCTGCAATCATGAAAGCTTTAAGTCAAGATTGATACCTCTATTTTAAAGGCCACGACTGAACGAATGTTGCTGTTTGGTCTCTGTTGTGCTTGCAGTGTCACGGTGTTGCGTGTTGCTGCTGTGGCATTATTCATGTTTGAGTGTTACAGTTGTGGCGTTTTAGTGTTTTGATTCGGTAATGTTGTGGCTGTCTGGTCGTTTTTGTTACCTGGTGTTTGTTGCTGTGGTTGTTGGAACCTCGCCCCTGATTGGCTAAACGGGGTCGACTTGGTTGCTGCAGTGACAGCTCTGGTTTCCGTGATGACGGAGTAGGAGGCAGGGCTGGGAGTGGAGCTCATGCGACTTGTGAACCTCTACAACAACCACAACAACCACAACCACTGCAACAACAATAACAATATACACCACTACTACAACTACTACAACTACTGCGACCGTTACAATTACTACAGACATTTCTATAACAATTATAACCACAGCAACTGCAACAACAAGAGACAAAGATCTGCAGTATAGCCCAGTGCTGTTCACGAGCACCAATGAAGGCCTGCATGGCACACGAGGGGATGGATGGCGAGCACCACCCCCGACCGCCTTTGTCTCCCCAGTGGCGATGTTTACACACCACACCAGGTACTTATTTCAGCCTGAGTCGACCTAGGGGAGGCCTAGAACCAGTTCAGATAATAGTCACTGGTGTTGGCCGTGAGCGGGAATCGAACTCGGGTCGCCTGGTTCGTAGCGCAGCGTGATAACCGCTACACCACCGCTCCCCACAACCACTACAAGACAAAAGACAAAAAATCCCCCATATAGCTTTAACAGACTGTTGGGGCAAGTACTGTTAGGGGGCACCGATGAAGGCCAGCACAGCAAACGAGGGGTGAGTGGCCAAAACCACCCCGGCCGCCTTTGTCTCCCGAGTGGTGATGTTTACTCAGCGCACTCATTTGAGACTGAGTCGACCTCGGGGAGGCCCAGGACTAGTTCAGAAATCGTCACTGGTGTTGGCTGTGAGCGGGATTTTAGCCCAACATCCACAACTCATACAAGCACAACTACCAGAACAACTGCCACAACCATTACAATTTACTCTGACCACAATGCAACCTTGACTAAAACTACCACAACCACAACAAACAACCACGATTACAACCATAACAACTACCACAACCGCTGCAATACATATTATGCATCCACAAAAACCACAACATAAACACAACTCCAACAACTACCCACACCACTGCAACAACAGCTGCGACAAGTACAAACACTATTACAACTACCACTGCAATGATAACTACTACTACTACAACAACAACACCTACAGCACCCACACCAGCGATCACAACTACAGCAACTACTACATCCACAACCACAGCACCACAACCACTGTAACAACTGCAACAACCACTGCTACTGCAAATACAAGCGCAACAACTATAATGGCGATAACTACAACAACCACAGCAACTCCAATAAACACGACGACAATTTTGTTCGTTCGTTTCTCAGCTTGTCCTGGTGAGGGTCGCGGCGGCAGCGTGTTGAGTAGGGCGGTACAGACCTCCCTTTCCCTACAACCACAATGACTACAACAAAAGCAATCACTACTTGTAGCAACTACCACAACTTCTACAAGACCTACAATTAAAACAACTGACATGACAACTATCGCAACAACATCAACCACAACCATGCCTACTACCACAGCTACAAACATGACAAGGACCATTTATAAAAACGACAGCAACAACCTCGAACAACTAACATGACATCAACCCCGACGGCATTAACCACAACTACCTCAACAACCATCGTGTGAACTCCCGTCATCCACGCAGAGGTGACTTTTGGCCAACCATCGAACAAAGATGGTCACTTCAGATGAGCATCTACGCTTGTCTGGAATGCTCTTCCTTTCCGATATTAGGGAGCCACTGGAGCTGTGCACTTTGAAATCATCGAGATTGAAAACGCATTTGCTTGGAACTGCATTTTGTGCTTAGTTTGTTGTCCTTCCCCCGCACCTCCGATTAGCACGGTTTTTTACGTACGGTGCGAAAGAAGTTCAACATACTGTACATACATATATAAGGAACGACTTCCTAGACACAACGTGTAGAGGGCTTCTTATTTATTTCTCATACTTGAGCACCAACACTGGGCAATATATAGAAACGTATCTACATAGCTACACACAGCCGACCTTTCTACACAGCCCCATCGTCGGCGTCTAACTACATAGCTGGCTGACGATGTAGCAATGACGACGATGGGAGCCATGCAGAAGATCGGCCATGCGACCGGACTACGAAGAGAGATGACGGCGAGCAGCGACGCAGCCACGACCCGGGACCCCGCAACAGCCCCGAACCTTCGGTTCCGTCCCCTCTATACACTTCCCGGCGTGGCCAGGCCCCCTTCTAGAACCTTCGAGGTTCCCAGAGCTTCCCGACTGACCCTGCCTTTTATCTTTAACCCAGATACGCCCCCTTCTAGTTGGTCATTATATAACACGCCTATACCCTTGATTACCCCTCCTGGCCAATAGGTGGCACCCTGTAATTACACAGACATCAATTACAACAAAAGCCACAACCACAACAATGACAGTAATACCTCGATATATGAAGTAAATGCGTTCCTGGAGCTTCATTCGTATTTTGAAACTTCATATACATATATTGAGTAATGTATAACATTAGTAGGATGATGATGTGTTCCCAGCCTTCATACCTTAATATTTAAAACTACACGAATAAACATTTTAGAACTTACCATTCATATTGAAAAAAAGACAATTTAGATTGAAAATAACATATTATTTATACTGTATGGTATCAAATAAAAAACAGACATTGATAAAATAAACTTAGTAAAAAAACGTACTTTTATTCTCATTTATATTCCACTAGAGACTGACAAATTGAATATTTATTGATGAAAGTTATTTATTATTTTACCTTTTTCCCCATTAAAATAACGGTAATGAATCCAAAGTTCGTTATACTTAAACTTCGCATATCGAGGTATTCCAGCACAACCATTAGAACCACAACCACAACTTCAACAACCACCACCGCCAAGCGCTGCGCGACTACAACTACCGAAAGAAACACCAAAGCACAGCTCAACAACACAACTCAACAGAAACCGTACGTTTTCCGTCGTCTTACTTCACCCGGTGTGGTTGTAGTTTTAACTGCGCAAGTGTTACCCGTTGAAGGTATTTTTACAAAGTCGTTGTTTGGTCACGAATATTAGTTTTTTTTTTTCTGTCCTCACCTTGGTGTGAGAGAGGAAAGATGCCGTCCCACCACTAGATCTGCTCCGATAGAAATCCTCGCATATGTCATAGCTTCCAGGTCCTGGGGAATGCCGCTGCGTAAGCGCACAAAACAACATCCACGATTAACCGAAGCGCAGCGGTCACGATTAAGGCCTGTCCGTCATACGCACAACCTTGGGGCCCGTGTGCTGAACGACTTACTCAAAGCTGGTAGCCAGCCACCTGTGCAAAACTCGCTCAAGATATCCCTACCTCTCTCTCACACGAGATCACATTACCCTCACCAAATCGGCGTTCTTCATTACAAGGCCCCGCGGGCCACTAGCGGCCCCTGGTGGCGTTAAGTGCGGCTCCTGACGTGCGGACCCCCAACAATACACAAATGGTGAGAACACCCCCCACCATCATCGTGCTGTCAAACCCCCAATGGCTTAAAATGTGTGGCGGCCCTCACACTGATGATGTCTTATAGGCGAAAGTGGCCCCCCTCTGAACATTTGTGAAGAACCACTGATGTATGGTAACATCATGTCCTCTGGCGAGCACATGCAGTAATAGCACAGCGTTAGGTTATATTATTGGTGAGGTTATATTTTTGTTAACTTTTTAATTAAAAATAACGTTTTAAAATTAGTTTCTGCGTGTGGGAGGTTTCTGTGTACATATGTCGAAGTTCTTTCGCACCGTACGTAGCCATCCGCGCTAATCAGAGGTGCGGGGGAAGGACAACAAACTAAACACAAAAAGCACTTCTCAAGAAATGAGTTCTCACCCGAACTTCACGTCCAAACCAAAAAATAAATGCTTGGTTATTAGGGTCCAGTGGTTGAGCAGGCAGCCCGCTACATAGGTTTAATTTGCTTTTCCTGTACTCAGGCCCATGCACATTAAGTAAACAAAGAGTCGAACATTATGAATCAGTCATAAAGTACAAATATATATGTTGAACTTCTTTCGCACCATACATAGCCAACCGTGCTAATCGGAGGTGGGAGGGTGCAAATAAAGATAAACTCGTATTCGTTGTGAACACTTAACACGTAGGTTTTTACAGCCAATATGATTCATAGTGGAAGCAAGAGATGGTACATATGATACAGAACCAGTGAGAAACAAGGTAATAAAACCATTAAGACCTAGAAACACAAACAAAACAGAACAATAAAGACAGTACAGCAAGGGACATAACTCATGATATTACACACAAGACCTAAAAACATATAAAAAAAGTATAACTGAGACAGAAACATGAGACAAAATACATTAGAAAACAATATAAGTGAGACAAAAAAGAGACGCAATCACAGTACAGAGGAAAGCGCCACCTGGCCAACATGAACCCAAATAGAGTTGCTTACCTGCATGACTTTCTGCAGACTCTGCTGCTGCTGCTGCTGATTCACAAAGAGAACTCGTCTCCCTTCGCCCACCTGATTTATGACATTCACGTTCAGAGGCCTTGGCGCCTGCACCCTGGGACCAGCGGAGTCACGTAAGGCATAACAGGTTTATTTTTGGGGTTAGATCGCGTAAATATAAATATGTCGTTAAACCCGCCAGCACCCGACACAACCAATTAGTACGATTTGTCACTTAAACAAAGACATGCCAGTTCGTTACTAGTTCAGCACGCCAGGGTGTTGGAGAGTAAACCCACAATATTTACAATCCGAATATGACGTTTCACCAGTAAGTACAACCAGCATCATCAGGTGGCAGCCAGAATCACATCAGGCAGCTTAACCCTTTCCAATTCAGATGACGTACGTGTACGTACGTGTACGTACACTGAAATGAAATAACTTAATTGGTACCCAGGCTCCCACAAGGCCATGCAGGAGGGTGTGTAGCACAGTTTGGTGCCAGCTATCATAAAGTGTGGCGGTCGTGTCGCTACGGTTCTCTGCGGTGACTACAACGTCTTTTAAAACAACGACGTGATGCCTCTCTAAATCAAATTAACCCTAACCGCGTTCGAGTTCCGAGATTCAGCGGTGAATATTTTTGATTAACCAATCCCAGTGCAGCTCAATGCAGATTTCTGGTATGCCACGTCCAACTAGCTGGGGTTTTACTTTACATGCATTTCTAATTTATACGATATATGGTACCCTTTTTACTAGTAGCAAATGCTGAAAAAATTTAATCGGCATACCCCTTCCGGAAATCAAACAGGAGGTGCAAAGAGGTTCAAACACCAAATAGATACCTATTGCAAGTCATAAAGTCATATTTATTTCCCACACTTCCGATTATTACAGTTGGCTACGTACGGTGCGAAAAAAGTTCAACATACATTTATGTTTACGTTATTTAGCTGTGGTGCTAATTGTTGTGGTTGTTTCGTTGTTGTAATTGTTTTTGTAAGTTGTGAATATAGGACTCCTCTACTTACGAACGAGTTCGGTTCCAGAGGTCTGGTCATAAGTCGATATGTTCGTAAGTCCAACTTTACTCTTGTCGATTCCAAATATGTTGTACAGCATGATACTAAACACTGTAGATGTAGATGCCACTGGTTATGTGCATTCTGCAGATGTAGATTCCACCACCGCCATCTATTGCACGGTGGTTCAACTTATGACTCTCAGTCCGAACAGGCAACTGGACATACGGACAGGTTTGTTTGTATCTCTGAAAGTTTGTAAATCGAATGTTCGAGTTTGTAAGTCGAATGCTTATATTTTTTGTGTTTTTTTATGGTGTGTGTTTTGCCATTGTGATTGCTGGTTTGACCGGTTCCTTCTGAATGACTGTAAGTTTGGTGGCACCTGTGGGGCTCATATTGTCCAGGCCCAGGCCCTTCCCTTGCCTTGAAAGAGAATCGTGCCGAACAAGACCGGGCAAATGGGGCACAACCACGAATGGCCTCCACTACCTGCAATAACAAAAACAGCATCAGTGGCAACACGTAGGCTGTCGCGACCAATATTATACATAATATAGGTTTTTGGGTTAGATCGTGTAAATATAAATGTGCCGTTAAGCCCACCAGCACCCGACACAGCCAATTAGTAAGGTTTTTCACTTAAAAGAACATGCCAGTTCGTTACTAATTCACCACACCGGTGTGTTGGAGATTAAACCCACAACATTTACAATTCAAGTATGACGTTTCAGCAGTAATTACAACCAGCATCATCAGGCAGACACTACATACTCTAACCCAAAAACCTATATTATGGAGCAGCAGCAACAACAACAACAGTTTAACATTCGTGGGAAGAAGGAATTCCGGGGCACAAGGGCAGCGGCAGGAATGTACTCCTATTGACAGTAAGTTGGTTGAAAAGTTTTCCAGAAACTGTAAAACTATTTTTTTTTTCACGAGGTAAGGCCCACTGAGCTGCGTAGCTCTTTATCAGAAGCAACCTGGCCACAAATGCTAGCTCAACGAAGTTGCTTATCACGTGGAAATATATTTAAATACATGTTCATTCTAATTGTGGACAGAAAAAAACAGGGCACCCGGAAAAAAATAAACCCGACCACGGGGAAAATTAACACTGTTGGCTACATACGGTGCAAAAGAAGTTTAACATCCATACATACGAAGGAGGTGTGGGGACCTGGAAGGAGTTGGGTTGGTAGGGAGAAACGGAATTATGAGAGATGATGGGTGCTAAAAGTGGCAGGTAAAATGGTGTTGAGAGTGATGAATTGGATATTGTCTGTTACCAAAGGGGTGGTTGATGAAACAATGAATGGAGCAGTGATTGGAGAATCGAGAAGAGGAAATTCAATGGATTCTTACATTTTTGTCACCAAAGGGGTGGGTGATGAAACAATGAATGGAGCAGTGATTGGAGAATCGAGAAGAGGAGATTCAATGGATTCTTACATTTTTCCCATCCCAAGACGTCTGCAAGTTGCTGGGTGGGTGTTCCCTTCATCGCTGAGTCTCAGAACGGGCAAGCGGCTCAGCATTAATTTAATTTAGAGAGGCATAGTGCCGTTGTTTTTAAAGACATTGTACTCGTGGAATAGAACTGCAGTGACACGACCGCACGCGAGTATAGCTCGCACCAAACTGTGCCACAAGCCCTCCTGCATGGCTTTGTGGGAGCCTCGGATTTTATTTTATATTTTGTAACATTTTTCTGAAGAAACAGGAAAAGGTAAATACAGAAGCTAATAATATCATTAGCAATGATGAGTGGGTAAGAGGAAAGGGACCAAAGTAATATCAGAATAGCTGGACGTGAAGTTTGGCTTTTGAGAGATACTTGTCATTGTTTTTGTTGTTGCTGTTTACTTGAGGGCAGTAGAAGGCCGGTCCCAGACTGCTATCGGTCTCTGGTGCCGCAATCGCTTTGAGTCCCCTGCCAGTGTTTGACTCCCGGTAGCCGTGACTCTGAAAGGGGCAGGGAATGGAGGGAGGGGCAGGGGGGCGGGGAGGATGGGGGGATGCACCCACCACCTACAACCATAACGACATCGCCTCTGATTAGCATGGTTGGCTACGTACTGTGCGAAAGAAGTTCACAACACATACGTACATCACCGATCACACAACATGAACAATGCCTCCCTCCTCTTCCAGTCCCCCATGTCTTCGTGCCTCCTCCCTGTGTCTCCTCCCCCCTCACCCCCCTCCACCGCACCATGTCTGTGCTTCTATCCTTCTCCCACTCCTCTTCCTCCTGTGTCATGTCCTCCACTCCATGTCTCCCTTATCCCTGTATTTCTGTCCTCCTCTTTGTTTTCCTCCACCCAATGTTTCTGTCCTGCTTATGTCTCCATCTTTCTCCCCCGTGTGTTTTCCTCCTCCTCCCCACGTCTCCCTCCTCCTCACCGGCTTGGTCACGTGATCAGGATCTTGGGTCGTGACCTCATATTGTCCTGGCCCAGGTCCATCGCTGACTTGATGAATAAAGCGCTCTGAATGGCTCCCGAAGGCTCCGTCTCCCCGACCCTGCCACTTCTGCACACACACATGATCCATTGAACTCATGAATGCCCTGATCGATTCACCTATTAATATTTACCATCTGCGGATTCATGACCTGCCCTGTCCAGACAATGTGTGGCAATGTAATTGTAAAAACTAAAGACACATGACAATGATCATATCACGCTGACATTTTTTGAAACAGCCTTATTAGTGACCTAATGATAGTGTCCTCAATGATTGAATCTATGGTACCTGGGTAGGTACATTGGTACTATGGCAGTCCATGCATCCTCTATGGTGCTGCATTTCCACAACCACATTTGTGCTCGCGAGCATGTTTGTGACCTGAGTCCCGTGCAAGTCATTAATTCGTAACTTTATTTAATCTAAAAAAGAACCCATTGTCATGTGTTAACAGTCTGGAACTCTGCTAACTTTTACTTAATTACCGCGTTATGACAAACACATAGGAAGTCAATGTCGGAGATAACTTAAAAACTACCAAAGTGGCATTGTACTACCCAACACAAACGGCACTGGCTCTCTCTGAGCATCAAACAAACCATACTGCAACATATCACACTTGGCAGTTTAATTCCAAGTACAGTATAACATTCGCCTCTACCCATGAATTGTTGGATTAAACCTTGAAACCTTAACCGCACGACCTGAGCACAGTGGAGGTCGTAGTGTCCAGGCCCAGGTCGGGAGAGCAGATCACGTGGGGTCAAAGGGTCACGTGATGTCAGAGACAGGAATGGAGCAAATCCCGGATCTGATAAGAAAACAACAAAAAACGGCCACACCTTCTTCAACAATAACCACACCTTTACAACAACAAATACACCCTCTACAACAAACAAATACAAACATCCCCCGTATAGCCTTCACAAACTATTGGGACAAGTACTGTTAGCGAGCACCTATGAAGGTCGGAAGGGCACACGAGGGGGTGGGCGGCAAGCACCACGCCCGGCCACCTTTGTCTCCCTAGCGGTGATGTTTGCACACTGCCCAGGATACTCATTTGTGGCTGATTAAACCTAGGAGAGGACCAGGACCGGTTCAGATAATAATCACGGGCATTGGTGGCCGCGGGCGGGAATCGAACTCGGGTTGCAAGGTTCGTAGCACAGTCGCTGTAAAACAGACTCTGCTTTTCACCTTGGGTCCAATTTAAATGATGCGTGTCAGGTCACCTCGTTAACCGTGGCTACGCTTAGAATCCATTTCTATAGATAGGAGCCTTAGCAAGGTTCAGCCATTCTCTGAATTGCCCCAATTTTCCTTTCTCTCTTCCCCTGTGAGACAGAAAACGAGAAACGTGGGCACAACCACATTGCCCCACAGACAAAACAACAATCACTCCAATCACTGACAACTACGGAACTGGGACTCTTGATTCGAGGACAAATCAACAACTATAACGGCCAACTAGATCGGCCACCACACATTCTATTAAACTACAATTAAACATGTTTTTATTTAATTTATAGCTTAACGTTTCAAGTTGTGTATTTCAATCACTTCTACAAAACACACTTCACAACAACCGCCAAAATAGTCACGTCTGGACGACATCAACCAACGGACACAGCTGCCTGCTATGAGGCAACTCAGAGCCACGATTTCGGGGGCTTGAAAAGAAAACACGAAGCAGACACCGCCAATCGATCGTAGGAACAGCAACTTGACGAATGTCGCCACCCCCCCCCCCCCCACACATCCTCACCACGTGAAGGGCACCCCTTTGTGATGTCATAGCTGCCGGGCCCGAGGGTGGGGGCCGTGCCCCCCGCGGGGAGTGACGTCACGCGCGGCGCCCGCCCGTGCATCTGAAACCCACAAAGAGAGGGTTTGTTGTGTGGCTGACTCGACCTAGGAGAGAGCAAGGAGGTTGTTATAGATGTAGTGGAATGTACATCTATGGAGACTTTCATTTACTCGTCATACGCACTATAACGGTGGTTCTCAACCGGGGGTAACGCGGACCCCTGGAGGTACGTAGCAATGTCCCAGGGGGTCGGTGAGGTGATTTGTACATGCGTGAAATTAATATCATGAGTCCTTGGTGAATAATCATGTACGAATCTTCCAATATAAAATAACTACATGATAACCTAGAACGATATAGAATACCTTTCTGAACTCAGTGATCGTAAACAATTCAGTTTCTAAGAGTAACCAGCAAAAATAACCCTCTATTCAAGTAACCAGCAAGCGTGTATTATTTGTTTATTACCTTGCAGTTACTAGCAGCTAGTTAGGATACCTCACAAAATGTACAATTGGTTAAAATATTGATGTTCATTATTCATATATTTATTTCTCAGAACCACGTTGGGTCAGGCAAGGGGGGGTTACTCGGTTCAAACAAAATTTAAGAAGAGGGGTAACACATTAGTAGCCGAAACAGGTTGAGAACCATGATAAATAAGAATTGGTTTTACACTTTCTGGCAATAAAACAGGTGTTAAAATGTTCAAAAAATATAAACCTTTGCAAGGAATCATGTCTGCATTAACCACACGTACTTGCGTTGAACACGCAAACAAACATGCTCTGGTCATAATACATGTGTAGTGGGTCCAATACGAGGAGAGACGGTTCTTTAGAGGCAACCCGTTTATTGTAACTACAGGTACATAACACAAAGGGGTAACGGCCCCTTACACCCTAAGGAGGTAGCCCCTCTGGACTAACGTGCCCTCACTCTGGTTATAGCGCTAACCCTACACTGCTTATGTTCTGAACCCGACCCTAGCCAGGGGTTCGGGTTCTGCCCACTGGGCTCTTCGGGTCTTCAGGTGGACGAGGACTGCCGGACCCGTTCAGGGGTCCGGCTTTTATACTCACTCCAGAATCTCTCTGCCCCTAGCCACACCTTCCTTCTGGAACTCTCTGGGGAGCCCTGGAACATGACGGCATCCCCCCAGCCCTCCTCTTGGGGTCTGGGGTCCCTGGTGGCCCAAGGGCCCGACTCATCCCACCTAGCCTGTCTACCACCCCCTGTTGACACATGTCTGCTACTGCAGGTAAGGGTCAATGGTGAATATACATACAGCCTAACAATGGCACTACATATGCATTGTCTTTGAAACTGATTGGCCTACACTAGAGACAGCCTTCTTTAGGGCCTTGTCACACCAGTGTCAGACCAGACTTTGATACTGGCAAAAAGGTATCAGGTTGAGAACCACTGCTCTATAGTATACATGTATGGTCACGCACTCTGCAGTGCACATGGAGTGGTGCACGCTATTTTCTATATATATAAGTCAAAATTTGCGTGTAGGTTTGTGTCGGGGTTTGTGTGTGGGTTTGTGTGTGGTCATGTGCTTGGCTCTCCAACGGTGGGGTTGACGTAAATAAAAATAGCCAGGTACCACGCCGTAAGCCCCGTCGTAAGCAAGCGCTATTCCTTTTTCACATCCGTCAACTTTAAATTTGTTTAATTAGCGATTTTGTGCGATTTTTGTGCGCTTCCCTTTTATTTATTTATTTGTGACGCGTGCACGGACCATAACAACTCACGCGCCTTTGGTGGGGTGGACGGCCCATGCCAAGTCGCACGCCCTCGGTGGGAGACATTTTCTTTCGCGTAAAAAATGCTATAAAAATACACTAAACACTGACGTTAATTCTTCACTGTGTGATGCCCCCCCCAACCGATGCGTGCAGTTATTACTACTATATAGTCGCTAGATGCTACCACTATAGGCGGGTCAGGGATAGCAGCCCAGCCTGCCAAGGTGCCACCTCGGCCGGCTGGACAATCTAGGCGAGGCCAGAGGCTCTGCACGAGACTAGGCCTCACCACACCACTCTTGTCCGGTGAGTACTTCGTGCTATACAGTCGATAAATACTGCTATAGAGTCAGCATGTACTACTGTAGTGATAGCAGGTACCACCACAGTCGGCATGCACTGCTGTAATCATAGCAGGTACCACCACAGTATGCACTGCTGCAGTGACGCAGGTACCACCACAGTATGCACTGCTGTAATCATAGGAGGTACCACCACAGTATGCACTGCTGTAATCATAGCAGGTACCACCACAGTATGCACTGCTGTAATCATAGCAGGTACCACCACAGAATGCACTGCTGTAATCATAGCAGGTGCCACCACAGTCAGTACGCACTGCTGTTAGATTTTTAAGAGTAGTTTTGAAATGTTTTTAAGACCCGGGCAATGCCGGGTACTTCCCGCTAGTGTATTATACAGACATCAACAATGACGTGATGGCCAGCGAGGTGAAGTATGGTCAAATAACACCCATGAGCTGCACGGCATTGGGAAGGCAATGGCTCAACTAAGGGCTGCAAGTGTGTGCACCTCAACACTCACGCTATATTGTTGTACGCGTACAGTCTGTTCCCCCTTAGCACGTGTTTTCATAAGGGGCCGTCCATAAATGACGTCACGCACCTAGGGGGGGAAGGGGGGTTAGACATTTGTGACGATGTGTGACGAGGGGGGGAGGGGGGGGGTTGAGAAATGTGACGTCACATCAAAATGCGCAACTTGAAAAAAATATGTATTAAATAAAAAATTGCGATGTAAAACTTTCGTGACTGCAGGGATTCATCTTCTTGGTTCTTTCGGTAAAGTCACGTAGAAGGGAAATAATAAAATAATAAAAATAAAACATTAAATACAATTCTCACGACGTTTCGGCCACAACGCAAGCAGCCGTCCGCAGGTGAAGAACAGGTCTGTCGGAAAGACAGCGTCTGAATGAACACCACCAAGCTTGGCAGCGTATATTTAAGCTGGGTTAGAGGAGGAGGGAGCCTTGACAAAGGAATTCGCATATCAACAGGAATTTAGCATATTATGGGAAATGCAACAACGGGATTAGTCACTTTTTGTGAAATGCGTAGGAGGTGGGGGGGTCTCAAAGTCATATTATGCCCGTGCATTATGTAGGATTAGCAGCAACAAAGGAAGGAAGTAGGGTTAGCAGTAATAAAGGGAAGGAATTTTAATAGTAAGGAGATTGCAGCAGCCAAATCACCACGTAAAAAAAAAACTAAAATATAAACTACATCAATATCGTCAATATACTAAGTATACTCTCCAATAAGCTGAGCTACTAACAGTAAGTCATACATTACAATTCTACGTCGCAAAAAATATAATATGCCTCCAGCTAAACTTTTTCCTTACATCACACGGATCTACCCCGTACTATATACTGCCATAGACAAACCCAACATTAAATTATATACTGCATTACTATACACCACCTTAGACTATACATTGTAATATTACACTATGTATTATGCTACCCACCCTACTGTATGCCCATGAGTACACGCGAGTCGCCCAGCCGGGAAGGCGACGTTATTGTTCCACACAGCACCCACGCGGCCACTGTGTTGGTAGCGACTAACCGTTGTCTTCCCTGGAGCCGCTTCGCGTTGTATCCCACCCCCTTCTGTACCCTCTCTCCTCTTCTCTCACCCGATTCACGTCTCCCTCGTTGACGTCGTTTCGCAGATAGACGTCGTCGCTTCGTTTTCCATGCCGCCGTCAGCCTCCACCCCACACTCACGTCGCTGACAGCATCGCCCGTCCTTCCTCGTTATCCGTCGCCTCTCACCACTCGCCTCCACCTACCCCATCGTAAATCGCTTTGATTTACGTCGCGCCCTCTCGTATGGATGTTGAACTTTTTTCGCACCGTACGTAGCCAACCATACTAATCTGAGGTGCGAGGGTGGAGGGAGTGGAAGGACAACAAACTAAACACAAAAAACAGTTCTATACCAATGAGTTTCCAATCTGGATGATTTAAAAGTGCACAGCTTCCAGTGGTTGCTTCATATCAGATGGAAGAGCGTTCCAGACGGCCGCAGAAGCGCATCTGAAACGCCACCTGGGGAATTAATGTTCTGTTTCTGTCTGGGGGTTTCCCCCAATCCCCTATCCCCTCTATTTCTCGCCTTCCTTGACAGCAACCCTCTCTAATAATATCTATGGGCGTGTTCCCTTGCCCCCCTTCGTGTTCCCCCCACATCACTCAACCCTAACCGTGCACCCGCACGAACTCGACACGTGTACAGTTGCACAATGGTGAACAGGAACTTTAAAACGAAAGGATGTTTTTATTTTACCAGGTAAGGCCAACTGAGCTATACAGCTCTCTTTCAGAAGCGACCTGGTAACAAATGATAGCTCAACGAAGTGGCTTATCATGTAAGCCAGCAGCCAAATACTCTAAATGCCTGATTCTAAACGTCAGAGGTGTGGACTCGAGTCATGTGACTTGGACTCGAGTCAGACTCGAGTCATGAATTTGATGACTTCAGACTCGACTTGGACTTGCATAACAATGACTTTGTCCCACCTCTGCTAAACGTGGTGGGAAAACCCGGAGGACCCGGAGAAAAATCCACTCGACCACGGAGAGAGAGACACGCAAACTCTAAATACACAGCAGCAGCAGCAGGCGTCAGGGTCGGGGTCGAACCCACGACCTCCTGTAGTCGACCCGGCGAGGGAGCTGACATCGTCTCCTCGCCGCTGCTTAGGCCTGAATCGGGCCCTGGTCCCGAGTTTGTAACGCGTGCTATGTGTGTGTGTGCAGTGTTGTATGTGTGCGCTGTGTGTGTGTGTATAGCGTGCTGTTTGTGTATGCTGTGTGTGTATAACGCGTGCTATGTGTGTGTGTGCAGTGTTTTATGTGTGCGCTGTGTATGTAGAGAGGAGAATGTCTGTGTGTGTATGTGTGTGTGTGTCTGTGTCAGAGGTCGCAACCGGGTACCCGATACCCGTACCCTACCCGATACCCGGCTACCCGTACCCGGCCGGGTATCGGCTACCCGTTTGCGACCCTGGTGCGGCCGGGTACGGGTAGGCCGTGAGTCACTGGTGAGTCACCGTTTGTCACTCATTTCCCAACGTCTTGTCTCTTCTCACAATTCAAGTTCCTAGAATCAACCCACCCGCGCCTGCAACATGGCTTCATCCCAGAGGTCGCAATCAGGTACCCGATACCCGTACCCTACCCGTACCCGGCTGGGTACGGGTACGGCCTGGCGCGGCCGGGTACGGGTAAGGAATCAAGACCCGTTTGCGACCTCTGGTCTGTGTAGAGAGGAGAGTGTCTGTGTGTGTGTCTGTGTGTGTAGAGATTGTCTGTGTGTGTGTGTCTGTCTGTGTGTCTGTGTAGAGAGGAGAGTGTATGTGTAGAGATTGTCTGTGTGTGTGTCTGTGTGTGTTTGTGTGTGTGTGTCTGTCTGTCTGTGTAGAGAGGAGAGTGTCTGTGTGTGTCTGTGTGTGTGTCTGTGTGTGTGTCTGTGTAGAGAGGAGAGTATCTATGTGTGTCTGTGTCTGTGTAGAGAGGAGAGTGTCTGTGTGTGTGTCTGTGTGAGTGTCTGTGTGTGTGTGTCTGTGTAGAGAGGAGAGTATCTATGTGTGTCTGTGTCTGTGTAGAGAGGAGAGTGTCTGTGTGTGTTTGTGTGTGTGTCTGTGTGTGTCTGTGTGTTGTGTGTGTCTGTGTGTGTGTCTGTGTAGAGAGGAGAGTGTCTATGTGTGTCTGTGTCTGTGTAGAGAGGAGAGTGTCTGTGTGGGTGTCTGTGTGTGTAGAGATTGTCTGTGTGTGTGTGTCTGTCTGTGTGTCTGTGTAGAGAGGAGAGTGTATGTGTATGTGTAGAGATTGTCTGTGTGTGTGTCTGTGTGTGTTTGTGTGTGTGTGTCTGTCTGTCTGTGTAGAGAGGAGAGTGTCTGTGTGTGTGTCTGTGTGTGTGTGTCTGTGTGTGTGTGTCTGTGTGTGTGTCTGTGTAGAGAGGAGAGTGTCTGTGTGGGGCTGCGTGCGTCACCTGCCGCTGCTTCCCTCTCGCTGTGACTCGGGGTCGCCATGCCAACCACCCCCCCTCACCCTGCCTGGCGCCCCTCCCCCTGCGGTCCCTGGGCGGGGCCACTTCACCGTCCACGCCCCCATAACGAGTTGAGCTGCCACGTTACTTAATACGGTGTATTAAATATCTCCCGTATAGCAGTTATATAACTTATATAACATATATAACTTCAATCTTGATTTGAAGCTTTCGTGACTGCAGGAATCAATACTCTTTGGTTATTTCGGTAAAGTCACGTAGGTAGAAAAATAAAATAAAATACAAATAAATCACGACGTTTCGATCGCAACACAAGGCGAAACAAAAATCCAGCAGTATAACTGCTGGACAGCATAGGGGGAGAGCTGCTGCAACAAGGGGTTGCTGTTCAGCAGTTCTATGTAGTTTTGTTTCGCATGAGGACGATCGCTTGTGTTGCGATCGAAACGTCGTGATTTATTTGTATTTAATTTTTCTACCTACGTGACTTTACCGAAAGAACCAAAGAGTAAAATATATAACTTATGTAACTGCTCAACTCCCGTGGGTTTGATATTCCACGAAGCTTATGGTCCACTCTAAAGGGCGCCACGGTGGCTATGAGATGTTGACTACCTCGCCTGGTCTACAGGAGGTCGTGGGTTCGATACCCACCCTGACACCTGCTGCTGTATATTTGGAGTTTGTGTGTCTCTCTTTCTCGGTGGTCGCGTGGATTTTTCTCCAGGTCCTCCGGTTTTCCCCTCCACATTTAGAATGATCATGCATTTGGCTGCTATAAATGTCCACGTGATAAGCCACTTCGTTGTGAAATCATTTTTGGCCAGGTCACTTCTGAAAAAGAGCTGTATATAGCTAAGTGGGCCTTACCAGGAACAATTTAAATAGTTTAATAGTTTGAAATCGCATCCGCACAAACCATGGTAGATTGTGGATACCTGATGCACAAATGGAAAATACTAAAAACCCTCCAGTAGTGTGCGACTGTGGTCATCAAGAACAGGTCAACGTATGACGATACAATGCCACGACCCGTAGATACGAAGGAGACATCTCGACGATGCACTTCGCTCCAGCTCCTGACGAGGTTATCCGGCGTGACCACCTGAATGTGAAATCGTAGTTGTTGCTCTGTATCTACATCAACCATACGAAAGAAGAAGACAGCTCAACAAGAGCTTTTAATTTTATACTTGCATTGTTTTTGTGTTGTTTGTCTTTTGGCGTTCTCTGGTCTAACACAGTTGGTGAGATAAGGCTGTAAAAAAGGCTGTCTCTGGTGCAGGCCAATGTGTTTTAAAGACAATGCATACATTAATAGCAGAGCATGTTGGTTTGCATGTTTTTCCACAAGTACGTGTGGTTAGTGCAGACTTGATTCCTTGCAATGAGTGTGTTTTGTGTTTGCACATCTAAACACCTGCGGATTTATTGCCAGAAAGGGTAAAACCTATTATTCGTTATACATTTATAGTTGTCATCATTATTATTACACCCGCAGTATTAATCAGTGCGGCCGCTGGAATCACGAACTGCGAACGTCAACAAGAAGTGGCAACCGCTCGACCGGTGTGCCGCGGCACGCAGAGGTGAGGACACCGGTGATCCGCCGGTGAGCCCCAGGTGAGCCCCAGGCGAGGGACGCGCCTCAACCCTCCAGCCCACCTGCCGCCCCCGCCCCTCTCCACACCTGCCGCCCTCGCGCAGCGCGGCAGATGACACCGTCAGCCACCAGCCCCGGCCCTCCCAACTCCCTCGGTCGCGCATGCGCATTTGGGCAAAGAGCCTCGGACACACACACGCACAGAGACACAGATATATACATAAACATGGAGACACAGAGATACGGATAGACACACAGATATGTAGGCAGACACGGCTCACAGACATACACAGATACGAATACACTCACAGAGACACAGACGCAAAGACACGTAGACGCACGTAGAGACGCACAGACACACTAAGAGGAAGGGCTGTGGACTAAAGAGGAAGGCAAAGTGGCATGAGCAGGCCATGTTGGTCGAGGGGTTGATGGCCAACAGGTGAAGAACGATGATGGAGTTGCAGCCGACGCATCCACGAGGATGTTCACCGAGCAATGAAGACGTGAAACCATATCCCGTGTAGGCAGTGTGCAGATTTGTATTACATTACAAGATTGTAGGTGATGGTGGATTGATCAGGGCTGACGATGACAATGATTGTCACAGTAGGTGGCAACTGAAAAATCACGACAAACTTCTGCATGACGAGAATCAGAATCTGTATTTATCCGTGATAAATCCGATTAGCTATGAAGCTCTTTTTGTCACAGACATCCAGTCGGGGCGGGTTAGAAGGGGGCCCCGCCATCACATATGCGTGAGTCACGAGCCTCCTGCAGCAGAACATAATAATACTCGTAACAACGAAGATCGTTGATAGATTGTGATTTATTCACGTTTGAAAATATCGTAGTACCACACGATTTCAGTAATGTAGTGCATTCGTCAAAATCCCTGCCGAGATGTTTTCACCTCCTCCGTCTTCACAGGTCACATCACAAATCCGCAGCAGCTGCTTCCCATCCACTTCCCATCCACTTATCCAGGCTCACGCCACGGCGTTCTCAAACATCTGTCTCACCCCCATTTTTTAAACAATAACACATTGATGCGTCCAATAAAACATCGATTTTCATGAGAAGATTAGGCATGCGTATTTGAATGTCAACCACAGAGATCTGCATCCTTTCCATAGGAGCCTGCTGGACCCAACAGGTTGGATGCGACGCTTCCATCTCACTTATTTTTTCCCGGAAGCACCTGGAAGAGAGGGTTGATACGGGAATCAAACTCAAGCAACTGCAGACGGAAGTCCTTACTGTACAGACACATCCAGCACGATAAAGCGGCAGCAAATAGGGCAGACATAATATTGTGGGCCCCAATTGTGATTGGGAAAAAAATAATTAACATCGCTATTTCTCAGAAAAACTATGGAACTATTCACTTTTTTTTATTTGGCCAGGTAAGACCCACTGAGCGAAATAGCTGTTTTTAGATACGACCTGGCAACAAAGAATAGCTCAACGAAGTGGCTTATCACGTGGGAATGTATTGCAGCCAAATAGCTTATTCTAAACGCATGTTAATTCTAAATGTGGAGGGAAACACCAGAGCATTTGCAAAACTTCTAATATACAACAAGTGTCAGGGTCGGGATCGAACCCACGACCTCCTGTATGACAGTTGTTAACATCTTGCCACCGTGGCTGCGACGCGCGTACGATTGTCTATTTATAGTTCTCAGAATGTGCACACAATTTGGTTCAACGGAATTTAATGCAACTGTTGCCCCAAAGTGTTTGGAACCACCCAGTGTCGTCTCTAAGCATCTCCATTCTGCCATCTCTGTCTTCATTTAAACCCACTCTATTAAAGTCACTAAAGTTTAAGTGTAATTATACAACAATTGCTATTATCATTAACTATGCTTGATTTTCAAAATATGTAATTGTGGAATGCTTTTATGTTGTATGCCGACCGAGTCGCCCTTCAAAAATACATTCTTGTCTCTACGGCTTTAATCGGGGAAATACACTCTTGATTCTGACTGCAGTGCGTGAGTGAGTGTGTGGGTGAGTGAGTGGTGGGTGGATGAGTGGTGAAGTGGGTAGATGAGTGAGTGGGTGGGTGAGTGAGTAGTGGGTGGATGAGTGGTGAAGTGGGTAGATGAGTGAGTGGGTGGGTGAGTGACGGGTGGATGAGTGGTGAAGTGGGTAGATGAGTGAGTGGGTGGGTGAGTGAGTGGTGGGTGGATGAGTGGTGAAGTGGGTAGATGAGTGAGTGGGTGGGTGAGTGAGTGGTGGGTGGATGAGTGGTGAAGTGGGTAGATGAGTGAGTGGGTGGGTGAGTTAGTGGGCGAGTAATGTGTGGGGAGGTGAGTGAGTGAATGCGTGAGTGAGTGGGTGAATGGGTGTGTGGGTATGTGGGTGAGTGTGTAAGTGGGCGAGTGAGTGTGTGTGAGGTTGTGTAATTGTGGGGAGCTGTAGAGGTGAGCGTGCTGCACTGTGAACGAGGCGACCCGAGTTCGATTCCCGCTTACAGCAACCAACACCAGTGACGATTATCTGGGTCAACTCAGCCTCAAATGAGTACCTGGTGCGATACGTAAACATCGCAACTGGGGAGACAAAAGCGGCCGTACGTGGTGCTGGCCACCCACCCCCTCGTGAGCCGTGCCGGCCTTCATAAGTGCTCGCTAACAGCACTTGCCCAAAGAGTTTGTGAAGGCTATACGGGGATGTTTGTGTTTGGTGTAATCGTGGAATACTTTGATGTTAGCCGCCCGAGTCCCCCCACCCTGAAGAGGAGCTTCTCAGCTCTCGGGGCTGTACTCTGTTGCTTGGTGATACTCACCCATCTGCTGGATCTTGGAAAAGGTGCTCCCGGAGGAGACTCCTCCACCGCTGCTCTTCGCTTCAGACGAGTGCCACCCGGAAGCGGACGATCCGCTGCGGACACCGCTGGTGGTGAATCCGACGTCGTCCAAGGTTGGACTGCTGCACGCGCACGCGGTTCTGTTTTGTTGACCTGCATTGAAATCCGCGAGGATTGTGTGTAGGTGTGTATGTGCTTAAGTGTGTAAGTGTGTATGTGTGTAGGTGTGTATGTATGTGTGTATGTAGGTGTGTATGTGTGTAGGTGTGTATGTATGTGTGTAGGTGTATAGGTGTGTATGTGTAGGGGTGTATGTGTGTATGTGTGTAGGTGTGTATGTGTGTATGTGTGTAGGTGTGTATATGTGTAGGTGTGTAGGTGTGTACGTGTGTTCGATTCCCGCTCACGGCTAACACCAGTGACGATTATCTGAACCGGTCCTGGGCCTCCCCTAGGTCGACTCAGCCTTAAATGAGTACCTGGTGCGGTGTGTAAACATCGCCACTGGGGAGACAAAGGCGATCAGGCGTGGTGTTGGCCACCCACCCCCTCGTGTGCCGTGCCGGCCTTCATAGGTGCTCGCTAACAGCACTTGCCCCTACAGTCTGTTAAGGCTATACGGGGGATCTTTGTCTTTGTGTAGGTGTGTAGGTGTGTATGTGTGTAGGGGTGTATGTGTGTATGTGTGTAGGTGTGTAGGTGTGTATGTGTGTAGGTGTGTATGTGTGTAGGTGTGTGTGTGTAGGCACGTCGAACTTTCTTTCGCATCGGCTGTCGTTAAACGAGCACGATTCTTTTGGAAGTCCGCAAAGTCTGGCGAGAGTCCATGAGACACGCAACTAAAACGAAACTACCTTTATTTTACCAGGTAAGGCCCAACTGAGCTACACCGTAGAGCGCTTTTTTCAGAAGCGACCTGGTCACAATTGATAGCTCAACGAAGTGGCTTACCATCACGTGGACATTGACAGCAACCAAATACTCAAAACGCGTGATGTTGATTCTAAATGTTGAGGGGAAAACCGGAGGACTCTGAAAAATCCACGCGACCACGGGGAGAGAGGGATACATTCTCCAAATATACAGCAGCAGGCGACAGAGTCGAGATCGAGCCCACGACCTCCTGTATACCAGGCGCGGGACAGCGGGAGGGAACAGTGCGGACGACTCCCGATGGAGCAAGAAGTCAGTTTAGCACCAAAGGCCGACGTTGAGGGGAGCGGAGAGGAGGAGAGGGAGTTGGAAGTGGAGATCGGAGAGGCATCGTGAGGCTACGAAGCAGTGCGTGTGCGCGGGAGATGATGGGGAGGGTATGGGCAGTTACCTCGATCCTGAAGCTCCCATTATGTTTCTGTTGAGCGCGCAGAAGATAACAAGGCGACTGTGAGACAGCTGTAGGGATAATGCGACAATCACTCGGGTCGACGGGCTCGTAGCGCAGCGTAGCGCTAACCACTACCCTACCGCTCCCCACGTTACTACACAAAGACACAGATCTCCCCTCAAAGCGTTAAACAGACTGTGGGGGCAAGTGCTGTTAGCGAGCATCTACGAAGGCTGGAATGGCACACGAGGGGGTGGGTGGCCAGCACCACGTCCAGCCGCCTTGTCTCCCTCGTGGCGATGTTTAGATACCACAAGGTACTCATTTGTGGCTGAGTCGACCTAGGGGAAGCTCAGGACCAGTTCAGATAATCGTCACTGGTGTTGGCCGTGAACGAGAATCGAACTCGTGCCGCCGGGTTCGTAGCGCAGCCTGTTAATCGCTACTAACACGACTCTAACACACACACTAGTACACTGACAATATTACACACACACTATTACATATGCACAGACAATATTGCACATACAAACAATATTACACGCACACAATATCACACGCACAATATTACACACACACAATATTACACACACAATATCACACACACAGTATCACACACACACAATATCACACACACAATATCACACCCAATATTACACACACACACAATATTACACACACACAATATTACACACACACAATATCACACACACAATATCACACGCACAATATTACACACACACACAATATTACACGCACACTGCTGCTGTAGCTGCTGTCGCTGCTGCTGCTGTGGCTGCTGCTGCTTCTGTGGCTGTCACTGCTGCTGTAGCTGCGTCTCCCCTCGCCTCTGATATTTAAGCATCCCCCTTGCCCGGCGTCACTGCCCTCTTTCGTGGAAGTGAACCGCGGCGAGCAGCACGTCACGTGGGATCAATCTCGCCCGTCACTGCTCGGCAGAGCTCAGTGCCACGTCTGCACGCACCCGGCTCTCGCTCGCCCCGGACTCGTTTTACATCTAATAAGGATTAGTTAATTGTTCGTTACACGCATCGAATCGTGGCAGGGGATGGTGCAGAGACAGAGAGGGGGGAGCGTGTAAACTAATTTCTTGAGAACTGCTTCTTGTGTTTAGGTTGTTGTCCTTCCCTCGCACCGTACTGTAACCAGCCGTACTCATTGGGAGGTGCACGGGAAAGGCAACAAACTATGGGTCTCTGTGTGAGTCTATGACTCAGACACAGACCCATAGACTCACACAGAGACCCATAGACTCACACAGAGACCCATAGACTCACACAGAGACCCATAGACTCACACAGAAACCCATAGACTCACACAGAGACCTATAGACTCACACAGAGACCCATAGACTCGCACAGAGACCCATAGACTCAAACACAGATCCATAGACTCACACACAGAGACCCATAGACTCACACACAGACCCATAGACTCACACAGAGACCCATAGACTCACACACAGACCCATAGACTCACACACAGACCCATAGACTCACACAGATACCCATAGACTCACACAGAGACCCATAGACTCACACACAGACCCATAGACTCACACACAGACCCATAGACTCACACAGATACCCATAGACTCACACACAGACCCATAGACTCACACACAGACCCATAGACTCATACACAGACCCATAGACTCACACAGAGACCCATAGACTCACACACAGACCCATAGACTCACACACAGACCCATAGACTCACACAGAGACCCATAGACTCACACAGAGACCCATAGACTCACACACAGACCCATAGACTCACACAGATACCCATAGACTCACACAGAGACCCATAGACTCACACACAGACCCATAGACTCACACACAGACCCATAGACTCACACAGATACCCATAGACTCACACACAGACCCATAGACTCACACACAGACCCATAGACTCACACACAGACCCATAGACTCACACAGAGACCCATAGACTCACACACAGACCCATAGACTCACACACAGACCCATAGACTCACACAGAGACCCATAGACTCACACAGAGACCCATAGTTTGTTGCCTTTCCCGTGCACCTCCCAATGAGTACGGCTGGTTACGTACGGTGCGAGGGAAGGACAACAACCTAAACACAAGAAGCAGTTCTCAAGAAATTAGTTTACACGCTCCCCCCTCTCTGTCTCTGCACCATCCCCTGCCACGATTCGATGCGTGTAACGAACAATTAACTAATCTTCATTAGATGTGAAACGAGTCCGGGGCGAGCGAGAGCCGGGTGCGTGCAGACGTGGCACTGAGCTCTGCCGAGCAGTGACGGGCGAGATTGATCCCACGTGACGTGCGCTCGCCGCGGTTCACTTCCACGAAAGAGGGCAGTGACGCCGGGCAAGGGGGATGCTTAAATATCAGAGGCGAGGGGAGACGCAGCTACAGCAGCAGTGACAGCCACAGAAGCAGCAGCAGCCACAGCAGCAGCAGCGACAGCAGCTACAGCAGCAGTGTGCGTGTAATATTGTGTGTGTGTGTAATATTGTGCGTGTGATATTGTGTGTGTGTGTGTAATATTGGGTGTGATATTGTGTGTGTGTGTGTAATATTGGGTGTGTGTAATATTGTTTGCGTGTGTAATATTGTCTGTGCATATGTAATAGTGTGTGTGTGTAACATTGTCAGTGTACTAGTGTGTGTGTTACAGTCGTGTTACTAGCGATTAACAGGCGGCGCTACGAACCCGGCGGCACGAGTTCGATTCCCGTTCACGGCCAACACCAGTGACGATTATCTGAACTGGTCCTGGGCCTCCCCTAGGTCGACTCTGCCTCAAATGAGTACCTGTTGTGGTGCGTAAACATCGCCACGAGGGAAACAAGGCGGCTGGGCGTGGTGCTGGCCACCCACCCCCTCGTGTGCCATTCCAGCCTTCGTAGATACTCGCTAACAGCACTTGCCCCCACAGTCTGTTTAACGCTTTGAGGGGAGATCTTTGTCTTTGTGTAGTAACGTGGGGAGCGGTAGGGTAGTGGTTAGCGCTACGCTGCGCTACGAGCCCGTCGACCCGAGTGATTGTCGCATTATCCCTACAGCTGTCTCACAGTCGCCTTGTTATCTTCTGCGCGCTCCACAGTAACATAATGGGAGCTTCAGGATCGAGGTAACTGCCCATACCCTCCCCATCATCTCCCGCGCACACGCACTGCTTCGTAGCCTCACGATGCCTCTCCGATCTCCACTTCCAACTCCCTCTCCTCCTCTCCGCTCCCCTCAACGTCGGCCTTTGGTGCTAAACTGACTTCTTGCTCCATCGGGAGTCGTCCGCACTGTTCCCTCCTGCTGTCCCGCGCCTGGTATACAGGAGGTCGTGGGCTCGATCTCGACTCTGTCGCCTGCTGCTGTATATTTGGAGAATGTATCCCTCTCCCCGTGGTCGCGTGGATTTTTCACAGAGTCCTCCGGTTTTCCCCTCAACATTTAGAATCAACATCACGCGTTTTGAGTATTTGGTTGCTGTCAATGTCCACGTGATGGTAAGCCACTTCGTTGAGCTATCAATTGTGGCCAGGTCGCTTCTGAAAAAAGCGTTCTACGGTGTAGCTCAGTTGGGCCTTACCTGGTAAAATAAAGGTAGTTTCGTTTTAGTTGGCGTGTCTCATGAACTCTCGCCAGACTTTGCGGACTTCCAAAAGAATCGTGCTCATTTAACGACAGCCGATGCGAAAGAAAGTTCGACGTGCCTACACACACACACCTACACACATACACACCTATACACACACACACCTACACACATACACACCTACACACCTACACACATACACACCTACACACATACACACCTACACACATACACACCTTGACATATACACACATACACACCTATACACATACACACCTACACACATACATATGTAATAAAGGACTCTTTCACTGTGTCTGTCTCCGTTGTCCTTTATTTGGGTTCTTACAACTTGTCCCACACGGCCCTCGCTCAGAGCCTTCCCGCTTGGCAGCTTGACAGCTGCTGGCGCTCCCGTAGCCTTTCCCCACTCCGATGCAGCTCCGCTGCAGGCTTCCTTGTGCAGTCTTTCAGCTGCTCTCGCTGCAGCTCCACCGCTGCTCTCCGTTCCACCCGTGCCCGGACACCGCTGGCCGACGGTGCCGAGTCTCACCACGTGGCGATCTCGCCACTCTCCACCCTCTGCCCTGCGTGGCCTCCTCCTGTCTTTATTCCCACACTCTCCTCCCGTCTCTTCCGGTTACCGCCCTTAAGAGCTTACCCCTCTCCCCCACGTGACCTAACCCCTCCCCCCGTGACGTCATATCCGCGAGGCCGTTTACGCCCGCATTACACATATACACATACACACCTACACACATACACACCTACACACATACACACCTACACACATACATACACACCTACACACAATCCTCGCGGATTTCAATGCAGGTTAACAAAACAGAACCGCGTGCGCGTGCAGCAGTCCAACCTTGGACGACGTCGGATTCACCACCAGCGGTGTCCGCAGCGGATCGTCCGCTTCCGGGTGGCACTCGTCTGAAGCGAAGAGCAGCGGTGGAGGAGTCTCCTCCGGGAGCACCTTTTCCAAGATCCAGCAGATGGGTGAGTATCACCAAGCAACAGAGTACAGCCCCGAGAGCTGAGAAGCTCCTCTTCAGGGTGGGGGGACTCGGGCGGCTAACATCAAAGTATTCCACGATTACACCAAACACAAACATCCCCGTACAGCCTTCACAGACTCTTTGGGCAAGTGCTGTCAGCGAGCACCTATGAAGGCCGGCACGGCTCACGAGCGGGTGGGTGGCCAGCACCACGTCCGGCCGCTTTTGTCTCCCCAGTGGCGATGTTTACGTATCGCACCAGGTACTCATTTGAGGCTGAGTTGACCCAGATAATCGTCACTGGTGTTGGTTGCCGTACGCGGGAATCGAACTCGGGTCGCCTCGTTCACAGTGCGGCACGCTCACCGCTACAGCTCCCTACAATTACACAACCTCACACACACTCACTCGCCCACTTACACACTCACCCACACACCCATTCACCCACTCACTCACGCATTCACTCACTCATCTACCCACTTCACCACTCATCCACCCACCACTCACTCACCCACACACTCACTCACGCACTGCAGAGTCAGAATCAGGAGTGTATTTCCCCGATTAAAGCCGTAGAGACAAGAATGTATTTTTGAAGGGCGACTCGGTCGGCATACAACATAAAAGCATTCCACAATTACAGATTTTGAAAATCAAGCATAGTTAATGATAATAGCAATTGTTGTATAATTACACTTAAACTTTATTGACTTTAATAGAGTGGGTTTAAATGAAGACAGAGATGGCAGAATGGAGATGCTAAGAGACGACACTGGGTGGTTCCAAACACTTTGGGGCAACAGTTGGATTAAATTCCGTTGAACCAAATTGTGTGCACATTCTGAGAACTATAAATAGACAATCGTACGCGCGTCACAGCCACGGTGGCGAGATGTTAACAACTGTCATACAGGAGGTCGTGGGTTCGATCCCGACCCTGACACTTGTTGTATATTAGAAGTTTTGCAAATCCTCTGGTTTTTCCCTCCACATTTAGAATTAACATGCGTTCAGAATAAGCTATTTGGCTGCAATACATTCCCACGTGATAAGCCACTTCGTTGAGCTATTCTTTGTGGCCAGGTCGTATCTAAAAACAGCTATTTCGCTCAGTGGGTCTTACCTGGCCAAATAAAAAAAAGTGAATAGTTCCATAGTTTTTCTGCAAAATAGCGATGTGAATTATTTTTTTCGCAATCACAATTGGGGCCCACAATATTATGTCCGCCCTATTTGCTGCCGCTTTATCGTGCTGGATGTCTCTGTACAGTAAGGACTTCCGTCTGCAGTTGCTTGAGTTTGATTCCCGTATCAACTCTCTCTTCCAGGTGCTTCCGGGAAAAAATAAGTGAGATGGAAGCGTCGCATCCAACCTGTTGGGTCCAGCAAGCTCCTATGGAAAGGATGCAGATCTCTGTGGTTGACATTCAAATACGCATGCCTAATCTTCTCATGAAAATCGATTTTTATTGGATGCATCAATGTGTTATTGTTTAAAAAATGGGGGTGAGACAGATGTTTGAGAACGCCGTGGCGTGAGCCTGGATAAGTGGATGGGAAGTGGATGGGAAGCGGCTGCTGCGGATTTGTGATGTGACCTGTGAAGACGGAGGAAGTGGAAACATCTCGGCAGGGATTTTGACGAATGCACTACATTACTGAAATCGTGTGGTACTACGATATTTTCAAACGTGAATAAATCACAATCTATGAACGATCTTCGTTGTTACGAGTATTATTATGTTCAGCTGCAGGAGGCTCGTGACTCACGCGTATGTGATGGCGGGGCCCACTTCTAACCCGCCCCGACTGGATGTCTGTGACAAAAAGAGCTTCATAGCTAATCGGATTTATCACGGATAAATACAGATTCTGATTCTCGTCATGCAGAAGTTTGTCGTGATTTTTCAGTTGCTACCTACTGTGACAATCATTGTCATGAGACGCATCGTACACCCGGGTCAGTGGTCGGAGTTGGCTCATAGGGTAGTTGCCGCAGCTGCGGCTTCATCCGCTGTTGTCGCTATGATGCACGGGATAGAAATTAGGATGGTCGTCGATACCGGTGAGTCCGCGACCATCATTTCCAAATTAATTTATAACATCTTCCTGCGAAAGTGTCGTACCCTGTGTCCCGTCGGGGTTCTGTGCTTTGCCGCAAATGGAGGCTCATTGGGCATTATTGGACAGATCATGGCAGAAGTGTGCATTGGAGATATCAAATTGACGGGAACAAGTTCTTGTTTCGACGTCCCTTGCCATTCCCTGCTTGCTTGGGACTGATTTCCTGGGGAAGATGCCCCTGAAAATGTAGACTCGGCTCTAAAGAAAGCTGTCTCTGGTGTGGACCAATCCGTTTCAAAGACAATGCACCATATACTGTCAGAGCATGTTTTTATTTGTTTGCATGTTCACCAGAAGTATATGCGGTTAATGCACTAAGTACATGATTCGTTGCAAAGGTTTCAGTTTGGTGTTTTAACATCTTAACACCTGTTTTATTGCCAGAGAGGGGAAAAACCTATTATCATAATTGAATACTGGCAAAGGAGGTCTTATGATATAATCAAATACTAAATTACGTAAACAATATAATATACTATCTATCTAAATAAAAACATGTGCTTACAAATTGAATAGAATTCGCTAAACGTATTTTTAAAATATAATTTATGGGGATTTTGTGTTGTATCAGAACAATTTCCACGTATAACATACACAACCTTCACTCTTGAAGAGAGAGAGGACGACCCAAGAGGTGCGAGCATCCACAAGCGGGATGAGCCTGTACTAAACAATTTCCCAAGGTCTGCAGTCCTCTATATATGAAGGTTTGTCCCGGCCAATTAATGAGCATTTACAAGTGGGAGCAGTAGTGTCGTGGTTAGCGCGCTGCACTACGAACCCGGCGACCCGAGTTCGATTCCAACCCCCTCACAGCCAATACTAGTTACGAATATCTGAATGGGTCCGAGGCCTACCCTATGTCGACTCAACCTCAAATAAATACTTTGTGTGTTGTGTGTAAACATCGCCACTAGGGAGACAAAGGCGGTTAAGCGTGGTGCTGGCCACCCGCCCCCTCGTGTGTCCAGCACTTGCCCCAACAGTATGTTAAGGCTATGTGGGGGATCTTTGTGTTTGATAAGTGGAGTACCCTGAAAAAATCCCCACACGTGTCAGGGGGACGCTTAGGGCACCACGGTGGTGAGATGTATTTTTGGAGCTTGCATGTTTCTATCTCCGTGGTCGTGTGGATGTTTCTCCGGGTCCTCCTGTTCCCCGCCCCCCCCCCCCCCCCCCCACATATAATCAACATGCGTCATGTTGCTGCTACTAATAATGTTCACGTGATAAGCCACTTCGTTGAGCTATCAATTGTGGCCACATCGCTTCTGAAAAAGACCTGTATAGCTGAGTGGGCCTTACCTAGTAAAATAAAAAAAAATAGCTGCTTAGTTTTAGTTGCTATCCCATAGGATGGGCCAAGTGGAGTCCACTTTTTCTGCTGTACCGCCTTCTCCTGGCGAGCCAGGGGTATAAGCACCTCGACGTCCACGGTGAGGCGATTCACCAACCCTCGCCTCCACTGTGGTGGCTCACAGAGGCGTGCACCACCGCTGCTCGGGACACAGTCGCGTAACGAGCGTGGGGAGCAGGGGGGTGCCTTGCCCCACCCCCTGGTGGCTAAAGCTACGAGTTCACCCCCCCCCCCCCCCTTGACAACCAACGTGAGATTTGTTTTCAACAAGTGTGAAAGAACAACTTCTTCTTCCTAGCGTTGTTCCCGCTGTGGCGCAGGGTCCGCTTTTCGGCATTGTCTTCTCCATTTGGCTCGGTCCAGGGCATCTTCAGGGGATGCGTTGACCGTCTTCATGTCTTCCTTTATTCGATCCATCCATCGCTTCTTCGGACGTCCGCGTGGACGGCGGCCCTCTGGCTCAATACGCACGGCAGTCTTGGCCACCGATGACTCTTCACTTCGCATCACATGGCCGTAACACCGAAGCCTTGCCTCAAGCATCTTGTCCGCAATGGGGGCCACACCAAGTCGCTTCCGAACGTCTTCGTTCCTGACACGATCCCATCGAGTGAGTCCGAGGCTCCATCTGAGCATCCTCATCTCCATGGTGTGGAGAGCTTGTTCGTGTACAGTTGTGGCTGGCCAGCACTCGGATCCATAGAGTGCCACCGGTCGGACGATGGTCTTGTAAATTTTTCCCTTCAGCCTATCCGGCATTTTCCGATCACAGAGGACTCCGGTGACTTGCCTCCACTTCATCCATGCCGCATTGACTCGTGACCTCACATCAGTCGTGATGCTACCATCTGAGCTGATGGTGGAGCCCAGGTACTTAAAGTCCGTCACTTTCTTCAGATCTTCTCCGTCAATGCTGATGGTGCCGTCGGTTTGGGGGCCACACTCCATATACTCCGTCTTATTGATGTTGAACCTCATCCCGTTTTCGTCCAAACGTTCCTTCCACAGGCGCGTTTGTCTTTCCACTTCTCCTATCTCTTCATCTGAGAGGAGGACGTCATCCGCGTAGAGAATTGACCATGGCAGGGGCGTGTGCAGGTCGGCAGTGATCGTGTCCATGCACAGGATAAACAGGAGTGGTGACAGGGCCGATCCTTGGTGCACTCCAACGTTGATGGGAAATGGCGGTGATATGCCCACTGCGCACCTGACTGCACTGGTGACATTCTTGTATAGGAGTTGCACCCAATGCACGTAGGTTTCAGGGACTCCATGGGATCGAAGCGAGTGCCAGATGAGGTCGTGGGGGACCCTGTCAAATGCCTTTTCAAGGTCGAGGAACGACACGTGCACAGCTTTGTTCTTCTCTCTGTGCCTCTCCAGCAGGAGCCTCGCTGCGAATATGGCATCCGTAGTGCCACATCCTTTGACGAAGCCGCATGGGTTGGGTGATAGGGTGATGATGTTTCTAATCCTCGTGTCCAAAACTCGCTCAAAGATCTTCATCGCATGACACAGGAGCCGGATTGGCCTGTAATTCGAGCATTCTGCCACGTCCCCTTTACCCTTCCAAATTGGAACCGTCGTGCTGTTCGACCAGGCTTCTGGGACCTCGCCGGTGCTCGTGATGGTGCTGAAGAGCTGGGTAAGGAGGGCAGCACCCTGCCTGCCAAGGATCTTCCAGGCTTCAGCAGGGATATCGTCCGGGCCAGTCGCTTTCCCATTCTTCATTCTCTTGATAGCTTGTTCCACTTCGGTGATGGTGATAGGCAAAACCGGACCGAGGACGTGTTCAGCGCTAATAATCGGTGGGTGGGGAAATTCCTGGTTGCAAATTCCAGAGAAGTAGTCGCTCCAGCGTTGAAGGATGGCGGGCGGGTCTCTGAGAGTGCTGTGATTCTCATCCTTTATGCATTTGACCTGACCAATAACCTGAGTCGAACGATGGCGCGCCTCTGCCAGTCGATGGATCTTATTGGCACCTTCTGGGGTGTCCAGTTCGACATACAGTTGGTCGTATTGAGCTAATTTCACCGCTGCTACTACTCGCCTCGCTGCCGATTTGCAGTTTCTGTAGTGTTGGTAATCCAGATCTGGGAGCGTTTGGCGCCACTTCTTGAAAGCTAGCTTCTTCTCTTTCACTGCTAGCTGAACTTCTTCGTTCCACCACCATATTTGCTTGTCAATGAAGCGTTTTCCCGGCTTAGTTAGCCCCAGTGCTTCCGTTGCTGCTGTGCACAATTGGCCGGCGAGATCTTCCCAAATCGCATTCGCTGGTCGGTTGGTGTTCACATCAATCTGATTGAGGGCGACTCTCAGCTGATCCTTGCATTCCTTCATCCGCCACCACTTAATTCGCTGCTGTCCCGTTGTTGGTGGGCGATGTCGCTGGCCAATGTCCATTTTCATGTCCATGACAAGGATGCGATGTTGTGGGGCGATGTTGTCCGATGGTATGACTTTAGTGTTTGTCACCATTTTCAGCTTATCCCGCTTGACAAGCCAGTAATCAATTTGAGTTGATCTCCCACCACTGGCGTACGTAATGAGATGGGACGGTCTCTTCTTGAAGAAGGTGTTGGCGAGGACAAGATCATGGGCTTCCGCAAAGTCCAGGGCTCGGTTTCCCTCATCGTTACGGGTACCATATCCTTGGCCACCATGGTTTCGAGGGTATCCATCCCGGGCGTTTCCAACGTGTCCATTTAGGTCTCCACCAATTACTAACTGCTCTTCTCCGTTTATCGATTGCATGTGTCCATCAAATTGTTCCCAAAATTCCTCCTTGGTATCTGCTGGGCAACCAGGCTGCGGCGCATAACAACATACCACCTGGAGGCGTAGGTCGTTTGAGTCGATTTCGATGGACATGAGGCGGTCGGAAACACGGTGGACGGCCACGACGTTGTCTCGTAGATTTTGGCTGACTGCGATTCCAACGCCGTTCTTGGTGTTTCTTTCACCGTTGTAGAACAGTTTGTATCCTTCTCCAATCTCCCTGGCCTTTGCTCCACTCCACTTCGTTTCTTGGATGCATACAATGTCGATACGACGGGCCTTTAGGGCAGCTGACAATTCTCGACTTCTCCCTGTCAATGTTCCGATGTTGAGTGTCCCAGCCGTAGTCGGACTAACTTCTTTAGCCTACCCGGTCCATGAGCAGGTAGCCCTCGTCCACTTCTCGCGTCGTTTGGGCGAGGACGGCGCGCGTTTCCCCCGGGGGGCGCCCTAGCTTGTTCCAAGTTGATTTGACGTTGCCATAGATGCGACACATAAATACTTTGGCCGGTGGGTCGCTCCATCTGACACCAAAGACTCTCACCGTTGGTTGGAATCCAGCCGGCACCGCGTGGAGGTGGTGATGGGATTTTGCCGTGTCAAAGAACAACAACAACACTTATTTAAAACGCAGTTTAAAATAAACATTTTATGGAAATGCTTTTATTTACATTGCATGTTTTGTCTTAATTTAATTCGAGCAGTGACATAACATTTGCAAAGAAGGTTACCACGGAGCTGTAGCGAAATGGATCGCCCCTACAACGTAAAATGTTCGAGACCGTGAGCGTATGTTGAACTTCTTTCGCACCGTACGTAGTCAACCGTGCTAATCAGAGGTGCGGGGAAAGGACAACAAACGGACCACAAAACAGGTCCCTGCGGGGTGGGCTGGTAGGAACGAATAACCAAAGAATATAAACATAATGTATTATTACACTTGTTTAGCCAGGAAAGCCTCATTGAGTCTAAAGGTTTTTGTAGGGTCCTGCCAAGTGTTTGCAGTAGGGGGCGATGTTGCTACACCTAATCGGACGATACGAAGGGAGAGTTTGAGGCCTAGTTCTATGCTTTAGGCCTAGCTGTAGGCTTTAGGCCGCTGTGAGTTAATTTTAAATTTAAATGTTTTAATTATTAATGTAAAAGCTTTAAATTTAAATGTTTCTATTTAAAAACATCAGGGAATGTAACATTGTTAAACATTAACTCCCTTTCACACACGCGGGGGTACGATACGAAGGGAGAGTTTGAGGCCTAGTTCTAGGCTTTAGGACCTAGCTGTAGGCTTTAGGCCGCTGTGAGTTAATTTTTAATTTAAATGTTTTAATGAAAAGCTATCTCAGGGAATTATAATTTTTATCAGAGGTGCGGGGAAAGGACAACAAACAGACCACAAAAAATGTAATAACCTAGGGGTGCGACTGTGGGAGACAAATTAAATATTGGGGATGGGGCCTTCCGTGACCGATTGCCACACCCCCTGAGCTGTTGATGTCGTCGTTACTCCGCCACTGCTGCTGGGCAATTACAAAGGCCGACACGTGATGATGACGGTGTCTGGTCAAGGGGGGTTGGGTGGGAGTTGGGGGGCGGGGTGGGAGTTTGTGGGGGGGTGGGTTGGGTTGGAGTTGGGGTGGGAGTTGGGGGGGGGGGTTGGGGGGGGTTGTGTGGGAGTTGTAGGGGGTTGGTGGGAGTTGGGAGGGAGTTGGGGGTGCGAGAAAAACCAAGCGCCCGAGGACAATGAGATGAGCAGCAGAGGGAGAGAGACTGAGAGACTGAGAGGCATTTACAGCGAAGCACGAAGCCGGAGAGGTCGGGGTACAGAAGTGAGCGTTTGTCACGTCGCAGAGGTAAGAACGCATCTTGATGCACACTCGTAACTTACAAACAATAAAGAGGTAATGTGTATGAAACTGGGATTTGTTCGTGTTTATTTTTTAAGATTAAAGAGTTTTAATCTAAATATAATCCGTGCAATCGCCGATTCCAGTGGAGGTCTCTCTCTCTTTCTCGAGAGAGAGAGAGACAGATGAGAGATAATGGCAGAGTGGCGTCGTAGCAGTGAGCAGTCGGCATTGTGTGAGAACGCGTCAGAAGTTTGAGAATCAAAAGTTTCATATTCTTGGTTCTTTCGGTAAAGTCACGTCGAAGGGAAACAATAAAATAGTAAAAATATAAAACAATATTTTATTGTTTCCCTTCTACGTGACTTTACCGAAAGAACCAAGAATATGAATCCCTACAGTCACGAAAGCTTTAAATCAAAATCAAAAGTTTGTTTCCCACCGAGTAAAGATGCTCCCTCTTTCTCTCTTTTAAGTGGCGACTCGGCCGGCAGACAACATCAAAGTTTTTCACAATTACAATTTATACATAAAACTATTTATTATCGCAGTTATGTTGTAAAAAATATTCACACTTAAACTTGAGTGATTTTAATAGTCGGTTTAAATGAGATGGCAAATTGGAGATGCCAAAGAGACGACACTTTTTTAGGTGTTGTTCTGGAACTTTTGTGCAGCAGCTGCATGAAATTATTTTGATCCAAATTTGGTACGAAATCTGGGAACTCATAATAGACAATCGGACACACGTCTGACCCCGTCATGAGAATATGGAATTAACATAAATTGCTGTGAGCTTTCATCGGAGGTCACTGCCCATGACTCGTTGGAGCAGGAAGCCATTCAACTTTTGTCTAATGAGCAAAAACAACAAACAACAGCAGAAGCAGGACGAGTGAAGAAGACGCGGGGCTGCACTCTCGCAGTCGGCCTGGAGATGTCACCTCCATCGTCTAGTACGCAGGAGGTCGTGGGTTCGATCCCGACCCTGACGCCTGCTGCTGTATATTTTGAGTTTGCGTGTCTCTCCGTGGTCGCGTGGATTTTTCTCCGGGCCCTCCGGTTTTTCCTTCCAACATTTATAGTTAACACCACGCGTTCATAGTATGTTGCTGCTGTAAAGTTTCACACGATACGCCACTTCGTTGAGCTATTATTTGCGATAGTCAGCTCGCTTCTGCAAAAAGAGCTACATAGCTCAGTGGGACTTACCTGGTCAAATAAAAAAATATTAAATAGTGTATAGCTTTCGCACATAGTGAGACAGCTCACTGCATGCGAAAAGGGGAGAGTCGTATTTTCAGAAGAAATGCAAGTGGCTGCTTTAGTGGGAATTGAACCGGCCTGGCCTTGCTCAGCGACTCGGTATCTGGGTCGATCTCACGGACCTGGGCGGGCCGTCCCCTTGGCCTCCAGCGATCGCTGACGGACGCGATGTTGAGTAATAATTGTCACCTTGGAATGCAATGTGGCCTCCGCCTCACGGTTTCGTCGCTGACTCAGGCGCGGAGAAAGAGGACGCCTCAGGCGCAGAGAGCAACCAGAGACGAGCGGGAAGGCAGTAGCAGCAGCAACAGCACAATGGGGTGATCCTGCATCACAACCACCAAGCTCTGCGTTCCCCTATATATGAAGGTGTTTTCATCCAATCAATGAAGGCGTTGGAGCTGTGTTGGAGGCATGCCAGGGTGTGACGCCTCCCCAACTCCAATGGGAAGGGAGTTTCGCAACATCTGTGTGTGATCCACAAACTCTCGCTGCTGTTGGATCACAGTCCACGTGGACGCCACGTTGGCAAGATGTTAATTCCCTCGCCTAGTTTACAGGAGGTCGTGGGTTCGATCTCGATCCTGACGCCTGTATATTTGGAGTTTGCGTGTCTCTCTCTCTCTCCCGGTGGTCGCGTGGATTTTTCTCCGGGTCCTCCGGCTTATCCCTCCACATGTAGAATTAACATCACGCGTCTAGAGTATCCCATTGCTGTAAATTCCCACGTGATGATGATAAGCCACTTCGTTGAGTGAGTATTTGTGGCCAGGTCGCTTCTGAAAAAGAACTAGATAGCTATACAGCTCAGTGGGCCTTACCTGGCAAAATAAATAAATACGTTTAGTGGTGGAAAAATATTGGCAGCAGCAACAGAATAAATAATCACGCAGATAATCGACCTTCTTCACACACCTGTCCCTCCATGAAGTAAAAAAACACTCAAAATAAGAAAATGTATCTACACTGGAGGAATCCGATGAGCTGTAAAGCTCTTTTTCACATGTCCAGTCGGGGCGGCCTTAAGAGCGTTACTAACAACAGGCAGTACAACAACACACGATGGGATTGCAAAGTAAAAGAAAGGTAAACAAATCACACAAACACATCCAAATGGAACTAAACCATCACCATCTTTGCAGGCAAAGCCCACTGAGGTATTAACTTATTATTATTTTTTCAACGACGCATTCGACACACCTTGCATAACATTGTGCGTCACTGCAGCAGCAGCAGCATTCCGGGCAATGTCTCCAAACAAACATCATCGTCTCTTTTACATTCCAGAGGCACGCGCCTCAAGACAACTGCAATTTCACCCGCATTGGGTCAAGCAAACCTCTAATTCTGCGGCTGATGAGACACTGAAACTCGAAACCCGTCCAAAACTTACTTTTGTGTTGAACCGATGATGTTACGGAATTGATTGCCAGAAGACCCGTGTGGTTGATGTCATGAATAACAAATGTGTGGTTTTCTATGTGGAGGGACAGATATGGGAAGCAGGCGATTCGTCTCCTGAATTTTGTTGTTTTTTTAAATCCTTTATATTAAGTTCGCTTGCTTGCGTGCTTGCTTGCTTGCTTACGACCGTGTAAATCTTTCGGTCGTTTTTTAACCCACTTCCCATGATCCAATCGAGTTGACATTTTCCACACAGACTCGTTGTGCGTGACAATTAATGTTCGTGAACATTTTTTCCAAAATTTTACACTTTTTAGGACAAAAATATTATATTTAATTACCAATTGCTTAATGCTGCCATGCAATCATCTGACCCATAGGTGGCAGCCATCTCAAGCCAGAGGACGAGAGGACTCTAGCCGCCACGCATATAAAGGATTTATAGTGAAAAACTTTCTTTTTACGGGTTTACTTGTTTCGCTCATCAGAGCACGCAGACAGGATCCGCATGAACCTGTTTTGTGGCATTTTAAAATACTGAATCGACATACGGACACACACAGCAAGAATCTACATACACACAACACAGCAAGTATCTACATACAGACACACACACAGCACTGCTGCCCTGAGGGAGAGCCGTGCTCTGTCCACTGCTGCCCTGAGGGAGAGCCGTGCTCTGTCCATTACATTAGCACTCGAGGTTTTTTGGTGCTCAAATCCACTGCTGGATGAAGGCCCACCGCACGCTGTGCGAGTGGATCGTGAGGATTTACTTGACCAGACTGTTGGGGGCCGCCGCACGCTGTGGTTGTTGGGGGTGTCGCAGGCTGTGGTTGTTAGGGGTGTCGCAGGCTGTTGTTGTTGGGGGTGTTGTATATGTTGGTTATCAAAATTTGTTATGTTGTATGCGTGCGTGGGTGAAATTATTATGTTGTATATGTGGGTTATGAATATTCAGTGAAAATAATAATAATTAAATGAAATTTGGCCAAATGTGTAATTATCCGGAAATATGTTAATTTATGTAATTATGCACATTTTAATTATGCCAATTCGAGAGGTAATCGTATTAATTATGCGAGTGGGTGTAATTATGATAATGCAAGTCGTTATGATAACCAGACCCCGCCTCGGTGATGAGGGTGGGTTATCGATCGGAATAAGGCAATTAATCGTATGCAGTTATGCAGGTGTGGTGTAAGTATGCAAGATTAACTTAGATTAACTCGGCATCGTTGTCTAGGTTCGTCTCATTCTCGCTTTAACATTCCCAGAGTGTGTATTCGTGGTTATATTTTAGGTCCCCGGTTCACCCCGTTATCGCTTTAACATTTACTGAGTATGTATTAGTGTGTTTATTAAGGTCACCAAGTTCAGATCTCAACGCAGAAGCAGATCTTATGCATAGATTTCAGGAAAGAATCACACAACCACTTCTGTATTGATCAATTTATTACTAATTCAACCTTCACTATGATATAGTATGCGAACTCTCAATCCCGGAACGTCAACACGGCATCAATACAGTATCATCAACGATTGTCTGATTTCACTTTGACAACGGCACATGGATCCCGCATAACGCGATGGTTGTTAGTGAGAGAGAGGGTCGTTAAAATATGCAAATACTATGCTAAGAAAACCTTAACGTTAATGAATGATCATACTCAACATTGTTCACGCAGTACCGCACTCCTTATTGATCATACGCAACCCTTATCACGTTGTTAGCACCTTGGGTCACGGGACAGTTGAATATTCTGTAGAGGATGCGAGTACGTGCGGCGATTATGACTGAAAGATACTTGAAAGATTATACGGCGATAAAAAAACACAATCAAAAACAGTTATTATTCTTAAAGGCACCAATCTCAACAGATACATCGGCAGGTTATCTGTCAACAGAACGGCTCGGAGTAAGGGCCTGCGACGGTGCTCCTTTTCCGAAGATCGTTATCTTATACCAAGTTTACTAATTGGGGACCAGATCACCTGATAAGGATCCGGTGGGCCACCACTCCCCACGTGAGCGTGGCTCGGCGGAAGGAGGTGCCAAGAATCAGTTCGTATTGATGGATCTGTTGGGGATTTATGCGATTTAAGAGTACAGCCCACTAAATATTAAAGATAAAAATTACGAATACACTTATAAACGACGGATGGCCATCACTCGGTCTCGTTGTGATGCCTTCCCAGCCACGGATGGCTTATGGGTTCGAGTGTGTTTGAGTGGTAAGAGTTGTCTTGAATAGTCAGTGTTCGGAGTCGATTCTTTATGTCAAACAGACGCCTGGTGGTCGTGTGGTGAGGGGGCGGTGCGCGTCATACGTATCAGTCGCTCCCCTGTCACCGTGGTGAACTGGTTCGGATGCCCGTTGATACGCTGTCGCAGTTCGGAACCCGGTCGGTAGGTCGCGCCCACAACTCGCTCGCAGCGTGCAGTGTTGGGTCGTCGACCAGGGTGTGCACGGAGCCTCGTCGCCAAACCGCGACCCTCACCACTCCGGCGGCAGCAGAGACCTCCGACTCGGCAGAGGTTGACCCACGCAGGCCGAGTTGAGCTGTCAAGCGGGTCTTGCCCGCCTGCAGAGGAGATGGGGAGCCGCTTGAGTCGAGCCCCGAGAGCCGGCTTTGGTAAGCCGATCGAACTCGGCTGAGTCCCAGACGAGCTGAAGATGAGTCGAGCCGACCCGCTGGTCGCAGCTCGCTCCTGAGCCGACCCTCCCGGTCGAGCTCGCTCCTGAGTCGACCCGCTGGTCGCACTCGCTCCTGAGTCGACCCGCTGGTCGCACTCGCTCCTGAGCCGACCCTCCCGGTCGAGCTCGCTCCTGAGCCGACCCGCTGGTCGCACTCGCTCCTGAGCCGACCCTCCCGGTCGAGCTCGCTCCTGAGCCGACCCGCTGGTCGCACTCGCTCCTGAGCCGACCCTCCCGGTCGAGCTCGCTCCTGAGCCGACCCGCTGGTCGCACTTGCTCCTGAGCCGACCCTCCCGGTCGAGCTCGCTCCTGAGCCGACCCGCTGGTCGCACTCGCTCCTGCTCAGGATCCTTTCCTTTATGCCGAAAAATCCCCCTGGATCCCGCCCACAAGGCGGGGCTTCTTTCGATTTTTGCTGTGTCAGGATCTGTCCGTAGGCAGGTGTGTCCATGTGTGTGTCCGTACGTCCGTATGTCCTTGTGTGCATCACCCACGGTATATTCCGTTGTCACACTCCCTCCATAAAACCCACGAGCAAACAATCAGATGTTACAAATTGCCTCGAGGTCAACTCTCTGTCTGGGTGCAATATTATCTCTTGTCTGGCCTTCTTCATGAACCCAAAACACAGACGTTACAAATCGTCTCATAGGCGTCTTTGTTCGTGTTGCACCACCTGGAGGGAGGGGCAACACTCTCTCCGACCCGGCGCACAAAGAAATGGTTAAGAGGTTTTAAGTTAACATTTGTCCCTTACTATTTCACAGTTATGATTATGTATGTAACCTAAGGTCTGTCGTTTCCCATCGTGGTGCTTGACTCAAGTGGAGGTGTTTCCCCGAGCGTATACACACTCCTATCCCGCGCTGCGGGGATACAAAGACGGCCGGGATCTCCCTTTCTCTCCGACCCTGGGAGTTATTATTTCTACTTTTATGGCCTGTCGAAGCCCGACTCGCTGTTGCTGGCTGGTGTCGTTCCCGGCTTTTTGCTTACGTTTGCAGTTCGCCGTGCTCTTAATTTCCTTCCCTCTTCAACCTTATATCGACTATTCGCTCCTGTCTGGGTGCGATTCAATTCTGACTTAGGAAGGTTCTGATTGTCATATGCTTCGGGTCGAGTTGTATAGAAAGTATTAAAGTATGGAAATAACATTTCATATTGACTTAATGATGGTGATGGTTCAGTAGGCGTAACTTGTGGCCTGGTTTAATTGGAGTGGGTGTGAATATCAATAACTTTAGCCTACCCTGTTGTTAAATTCCGACTTTAACGTTACTTTAATAGCAATACAGAATAATTGAGCTTTTTGTCTTAACTAGGCGAACGCGAACTTCTGGTGACCCCCGCAGCCTTGTTGTTCAGCTGGGTCTGCATAATTTCAGGTCAAGGGCCCCCTCACGTTCAGACGTGCAGGGTTGTTTAAATCAGCTCCCTCCCCTGTGCACACAGCCTTGAGCTGATCCACTTAATTTAATTCCTTGGCCTTTTTGGGTTTATCTTTGCTCCCTCAGCTGCAGGAGGACAAGGCGTACTTCTACCTCCCCCCTGTGTGCACGTGTTCCAACTAGCTCGGAATCCCTAAACACACAATCAGTGATGATTCCTGGCTTTCTGTGGTTGTGATTTAGACAAAGGCGCCTCTGCTTTCTTCCCTTGCCTTTGAGTCGACACTGCCCTATTATTTGCCCATGTGCTGAGGTCATAGAATTCGTTTTGACTTCAGTAATATTAACATTCAGTATTGGATTAGCAAATGGGCAATGGTTCATTGATGTAGCTCGCAGCCTGGTCTCCAATTTGAGCGAGCGCGAGGATCGATAATTTAGCTTACTCTGTTGTTGAATTTCGAATTTTGACGTTACTTTAAAACCATGCAGGATGGTTGGGCTTTTTGCCTTAACTATGTCTGGCTGACACTCCCACTGTCTCTGCCGCCTGCACGGGTGACATGTGCCCATTCATCAGGCCTTATCTTTCCTTGAAGCAAGGTTGCAAATTCTGCCATCCTAGCCCTCCTCCAGTTCATTACTTAACAACACCTGGTGTTTTGCAGTTTGCTGCGCTTTGGTGTGTTTCATTCATTAAAAAAACAAGTAAAAAGATAATATATAAAAATATCATCAAATATTATTAATCTCAATTTTGGAAGAAGGGTTAGTATACAACAGGGGTGCCGCAGGCTGTGGTTGTTGGGGGTGTCGCAGGCTGTGGTTGTTGGGGGTGCCGCAGGCTGTGGTTGTTGGGGGTGTCGCACGCTGTGGTTGTTGGGGGTGTCGCAGGCTGTGGTTTGTGGGGGGTGTCGCAGGCTGTGGTTGTTGGGGGTGTCGCAGGCTGTGGTTGTTGGGGGTGTCGCAGGCTGTGGTTGTTGGGGGGTGCCGCAGGTTGTGGTTGTTGGGGGGTGCCGCAGGCTGTGGTTGTTGGGGGGTGCCGCAGGCTGTGGTTGTTAGGGGGTGCCGCAGGCTGTGGTTGTTGGGGGGTGCCGCAGGCTGTGGTTGTTGGGGGGTGCCGCAGGCTGTGGTTGTTGGGGGGTGCCGCAGGCTGTGGTTGTTGGGGGGTGCCGCAGGCTGTGGTTGTTGGGGGGTGCCGCAGGCTGTGGTTGTTGGGGGGTGCCGCAGGCTGTGGTTGTTGGGGGGTGCCGCAGGCTGTGGTTGTTGGGGGGTGTCGCAGGCTGTGGTTGTTGGGGGTGTCGCAGGCTGTGGTTGTTGGGGGTGTCGCAGGCTGTGGTTGTTGGGGGTGTCGCAGGCTGTGGTTGTTGGGGGGTGCCGCAGGCTGTGGTTGTTGGGGGGTGCCGCAGGCTGTGGTTGTTGGGGGACGCTGCAGGCGCCTGTGGCGGCCCCGCACAGCCACACACAATGTTGTTGGGGGGCGCCATAGGCAACCTCGTCTCACCAGAGCATGGTTTTGTTTGCAAGTTCACCACAAGAACGTGCGGTTAATGCAGACATGATTCCTTGCGAAAGGTTTCTGTTTGGTGTTTGAACAACTTAACACCTCCTGTTTTATTGCCAAAAATGGTAAAACGTATTCTTGTTATTGTTTTTATTCTTGTTTTTCATACTTTGATATTGGCAAAAAAAAGGTCCCATTGAGAAGTTTTAAATGTTTGTGGGAGTTGCCGGTGGTCACGAGTGGACTCGCGCCGTGCAGTGTTTGATTCCGGGGGGGGGGGGGGGGTGAGGCGGCCAGAACTACACCCGGCCCGCCTTTGTCTCCCCGGTGCTGATGTTGTACACAGCGACCCAGCTACCGTACTCATTTAAAGCCGATTCGAGCTCGCGGAGGTCCGTCAAGATTAGGATCTTCGCCGTCGATGTTGGTGGTGGCCGTGAGCGGGAGTCGAACTCGATTCGACGGGTTAGGAGCGCAGCGCGCTCACCAATGCGCGCCATCCTGCCCCCTTCAGACAGAACAAGACACAGATCCCCCGTGTAGCCTTAACACACTGTTGGGGCAAGTGCTGTTAGCGATCACCTATGAAGGCCGGCAAGGCACACGAGTGTTGGGTGGCCAGCACCACGCTCGACCGCCTTTGTCTCCCCAGAGGCGATGTTTACTACACACCGCACCAGATACTCATTTGAGGCCGAGTCGACTTAGGGGAGGCCCAGCACCAGTTCAGATAACCGTCACTGGCGTGGTGGCCGTGAACGGGACTCGAACTCGGGTGGCCAGGGTTCGTAGCGCAGGCGAGCTAACCGCTGCGCCACCGCTCCCCCTACATGCACTCGGGGCACGCACACAGAGACGCAGCGTCGTGCAGAACGCCGGGCAGCTGCAGCAGCTGCGGTGCCGAGGGGGGTTGGTCAGAATGAGAGCTGATTGAGAGCTTGCGGGGGGTGTGGGGGGGGGTCTGTGGGTGGCGGAGTTGGGAGATCGAGAGAGGGGTGAGAGGAGCTGCGTGGGAGGAGAGGGGGAGCAGCCCCCCACCCCCTAACCCCCACCCCCTACCCCCCACACCCCACCCCATGAGTGCGCCACGGAGGCGGCCCTTGCGGTGCTGGAAGTGGCGATCGCGGGGGGAGTGATTTCGACGATCGAGAGGGGAGTGATTTCGGCGACCCGTGTCCTGTGTGTGAAGGGGTGGAGGAGTCGTCGGTTGGCTGCTCAGTCGGGAACGCCGCGGAGACGGGGAGCTGCCCGCAGCCTGTGGAGCGATGCAGCCCGAGGAGCTCAGCAGGGTACACGCAGCATCCGCTTCTACCATGACTCCTCCTGCAGGACTACACGTCATACCACTCCTGCTACTACTACCACCATCATCCACCTCCACTCATTCCACCACAATCACCAACACTCATACCACCACCTCTACCATCACCCACCTCCTATACCACAACCTACCTCCACCCATAGCAGTACTACCACCACCACCTAGCACCATCAACCACCTCCACCACTCACCGTCACATACATGCTTGGCAATCCATACGGCTTACCCATATTCTTATACATGGAAATTGAGTTTTCAGGTCCATATGGCGTACAGCCGCTTCAATACGAGCAAAACAAATTACTTTGTGTTTCTCCCTTGTGATGGGACTTTGTAGGATGAACGCTGAGATTTATAAGGGCAGGGGGTTACCAATAAGGGTCTGAATTGGTCTGTAATAAAGTAGGGCACTGGTAAGGGGTTAACAGGAATGCCCATTCACGTACCACTCGCCCATTCACTCACTCACTCTAAACTCGCCAACTCACTCACTCACGCTACAATCGCCCATTCACTCTACACTCGCCCACTCACTCACTCTACACTCGCCCACTCATTCACTCTAAACTCACTCACTCTACACTCGCCCACTCACTCACTCTACACTCGCCCACTCACTCACTCTACACTCGCCCATTCACTCACTCACTCACTCTACACTCGCCCACTCACTCACTCTACATTCGCCCATTCACTCACTCACTCTACACTCGCCCATTCACTCACTCACTCTACACTCGCCCACTCACTCTACACTCGCCCACTCACTCACTCTACACTCGCCCATTCACTCACTCACTCTACACTCGCCCATTCACTCACTCACTCTACACTCGCCCATTCACTCACTCACTCTACACTCGCCCACTAACTCACTCTACACTCGCCTACTCACTCTACACTCGCCCACTCACTCTACACTCGCCCACTCACTCACTCTACACTCGCCCACTCTACACTCGCCCACTTACTCACTCTACACTCGCCCACTCACTCACTCTACACTCGCCCACTCGCCCACTCACTCACTCTACACTCGCCCATTCACTACCTCTACACTCGCCCACTCACTCACTCTACACTCGCCCACTCACTCACTCTACAATCGCCCACGCGCCCACTCACTCACTCTACACTCGCCCACTCACTCTACACTCGCCCAATCACTCACTCTACACTCGCCCACTCACTCACTCTACACTCGCCCACTCACCCACTCACTCACTCTACACTCGTCCACTCACTCACTCTACACTCGCCCACTCACTCTACAATCGCCCACTCACTCACTCACTCTACACTCGCCCACTCACTCAATCTACACTCGCCCACTCACTCTACACTCGCCCACTCACTCACTCACCTATTCGCTCACTCTACACTCGCCCATTCACTTACTCACTCTACACTCGCCCACTCACTCACTCTACACTCGCCGACTCACTCACTCTTCACTCGCCCACTCGCTCACTCACTCTACACTCGCCCACTAACTCACTCTACACTCGCCCACTCACTCTACACTCGCCCACTCACTCTACACTCGCCCACTCACTCACTCTACACTCGCCCACTCACTCACTCTACACTCGCCCACTCACTCACTCTACACTCGCCCACTCACTCACTCTACACTCGCCCACTCACTCACTCTACACTCGCCCACTCACTCACTCTACACTCGCCCATTCACTCACTCACTCTACACTCGCCCATTCACTCACTCACTCTACACTCGACCACTCACTCTACACTTGCCTACTCACTCTACACTCGCCCACTCACTCACTGTACACTCGCCCACTCACTCACTCACTCTACACTCGCCCATTCACTCACTCTACACTCGCCCACTCACTCACTCACTCTACACTCGCCCATTCACTCACTCTACACTCGCCCACTCACTCTACACTCGCCCATTCACTCACTCTACATTCACCCACTCACTCACTCTACACTCGCCCACTCACTCACTCTACACTCGCCGACTCACTCACTCTACACTCGCCCACTCACTCACTCACTCTACACTCGCCCACTAACTCACTCTACACTCGCCTACTCACTCTACACTCGCCCACTCACTCTACACTCGCCCATTCACTCACTCACTCTACACTCGCCCATTCACTCACTCACTCTACACTCGCCCATTCACTCACTCACTCTATACTCGCCCACTCACTCTACACTCGCCTACTCACTCTACACTCGCCCACTCACTCAATGTACACTCGCCCACTCACTCAGTCACTCTATACTCGCCCATTCACTCACTCTACACTCGCCCACTCACTCACTCTACACTCGCCCATTCACTCACTCTACACTCGCCCACTCACTCACTCACTCACTCTACACTCACCCACTCACTCTTCATTCGCCCACTCACTCACTCTACACTCGCCCACATCACTCACTTTACACTCGCCCACTCACTCACTCACTCTACACTCGCCCACTCACTCACTCTACACTCATCCACTCACTCTACACTCGCCCATTCACTCACTCTACACTCACCCACTCACTCTACATTCGCCCACTCACTCACTCTACACTCGCCGACTCACTCACTTTACACTCGCCCACTCACTCACTCACTCTACACTCGCCCACTAACTCACTCTACACTCGCCCACTCACTCACTCACTCTACACTCGCCCACTCACTCTACACTCGCCCATTCACTCACTCTACACTCACCCACTCACTCACTCTACACTCGCCCACTCACTCTACACTCGCCGACTCACTCACTCTACACTCGCCCACTCACTCACTCACTCTACACTCGCCCACTAACTCACTCACTCTACACTCGCCCACTAACTCACTCACTCTACACTCGCCCACTAACTCTACACTCGCCCACTCACTCACTCTACACTCGCCAACTCACTCACTCTACACTCGCCAACTCACTCACTCTATACTCGCCCACTCACTCTACACTCGCCTACTCACTCTACACTCGCCCACTCACTCAATGTACACTCGCCCACTCACTCAGTCACTCTATACTCGCCCATTCACTCACTCTACACTCGCCCACTCACTCACTCTACACTCGCCCACTAACTCACTCTACACTCGCCCACTCACTCACTCACTCACTCTACACTCACCCACTCACTCTTCATTCGCCCACTCACTCACTCTACACTCGCCCACTCACTCACTTTACACTCGCCCACTCACTCACTCACTCTACACTCGCCCACTCACTCACTCTACACTCATCCACTCACTCTACACTCGCCCATTCACTCACTCTACACTCACCCACTCACTCTACATTCGCCCACTCACTCACTCACTCAACACTCGCCGACTCACTCACTTTACACTCGCCCACTCACTCACTCACTCTACACTCGCCGACTCACTCACTTTACACTCGCCCACTCACTCACTCACTCTACACTCGCCCACTAACTCACTCTACACTCGCCCACTCACTCACTCACTCACTCTACACTCGCCCACTCACTCTACACTCGCCCATTCACTCACTCTACACTCACCCACTCACTCACTCTACACTCGCCCACTCACTCTACACTCGCCGACTCACTCACTCTACACTCGCCCACTCACTCACTCACTCTACACTCGCCCACTAACTCACTCACTCTACACTCGCCCACTAACTCACTCACTCTACACTCGCCCACTAACTCTACACTCGCCCACTCACTCACTCTACACTCGCCAACTCACTCACTCTACACTCGCCAACTCACTCACTCTACACTCGCCTATTCACTCACTCACTCTACACTCGCCCATTCACTCACTCACTCTGCACTCGCCCACTCACTCTACACTCGCCTACTCACTCTACCCTCGCCCATTCACTCACTCTACACTCGCCCACTCACTCACTCTACACTCGCTCATTCACTCACTCTACACTCGCCCGCCCACTCACTCACTCTACACTCGCCCGCCCACTCACTCACTCTACACTCACTCACTCACTCTACACTCGCCCATTCACTAACTCTACACTCGCCCACTCACTCTACACTCGCCCACTCACTCACTCTACACTCGCCCACTCACTCTACACTCGCCCATTCACTAACTCTACACTCGCCCACTCACTCTACACTCGCCCACTCACTCACTCTACACTCGCCCACTCACTCACTCTACACTCGCCCACTCGCCCACTCACTCACTCTACACTCGCCCATTCACTAACTCTACACTCGCCCACTCACTCACTCTACACTCGCCCACTCACTCACTCTACACTCGCCCACTCGCCCACTCACTCACTCTACACTCGCCCACTCACTCTACACTCGCCCACTCACTCACTCTACACTCGCCCACTCACTCACTCTACACTCGCCCACTCACTCACTCTACACTCGCCCACTCACCCACTCACTCACTCACTCTACACTCGTCCACTCACTCACTCTACACTCGCCCACTCACTCTACACTCGCCCACTCACTCACTCACTCTACACTCGCCCACTCACTCAATCTACACTCGCCCACTCACTCTACACTCGCCCATTCGCCCACTCACTCTACACTCGCCCATTCACTTACTCACTCTACACTCGCCCACTCACTCACTCTACACTCGCCCACTCACTCACTCTTCACTCGCCCACTCACTCACTCACTCTACACTCGCCACTAACTCACTCTACACTCGCCCACTCACTCTACGCTCGCCCACTCACTCTACACTCGCCCACTCACTCACTCTACACTCGCCCACTCACTCACTCTACACTCGCCCACTCACTCACTCTACACTCGCCCACTCACTCACTCTACACTCGCCCACTCGCTCACTCTACACTCGCCCACTCACTCTGCACTCACCCACTCACTCTACACTCGCCCACTCACTCACTCTACACTCGCCAACTCACTCACTCTACACTCGCCCATTCACTCACTCACTCTACACTCGCCCATTCACTCACTCTGCACTCGCCCACTCACTCTACACTCGCCTACTCACTCTACCCTTGC